ATATATATGGTGCACGGTGTGTCCAAAGTAGTGAGAAAGAGCCTCGAGTCGTTGATAGTGCTATCGGTCCGATTTCTGTGTGTTGCTCATTGTTCTCGTTAGCGAGTGAGCAGAGAGTGTTCCGATAGACCGTTTTAGGCAGATATTTTGTGCACGTGGCAAGGTTTTATTTGCGAGACACCATGGATCTCGAGAAGTTAGTAGGTCTCGGTGAAAAGATGGGTGGCCTCGTGGCAATATATATATATATATATATATATATATATATATATATATATATATATACGTGTGTGTGTGTGTGTGTGTGTGTATACTTGATTTGGCGATGTTCCAGAATTAGCGAACGAATTTGTCCGCCAAACCCACTCGAACACAGGATTCTTTTTTATTTTGTAGATACAGTTCTAACGTTGTCGCACTAAAACGTCTACAAACCTTTTCTTTTCTTTTATTGTTTTTTGAATGGAGAGGATCGAGGACCCCATCCCTTCTGGGCTGTTGCATGGGAGCCCTAAATCCGACATCTCAAGTTCAGCAGACATTTTTTTTTCTTTTTTTTCTTGGAGGGAGGGGAGGGGGAGTGTCACTCATGGTAACAACAGCCCACAAAGAGGACTATGGCGGCGCTCCGGCAGCCTTCCCAGTTTGTTTTCCTCAACTGTAGTGAGTGAGTGCTATCTTACATTGACATTTACCCAATGAACCAACTGGACGCGAAGCATACATTTCTCAACGAAGTGTATCTCCATAACATAAACGCAAAAATTATCGGAAAGCATTCGTTCAAGTTCTATAACAAACACACAACAATAAAACAACAGAAGAAAAAGGAATAAATGGGAGCTTGAAAACCTACCAGCCCATCTGGAGTGTTGAAGTCGTGGAGGAGCAAGTTGTTGCGAAGACACTTTATGAGATGCGGAAAGTCCGAAAGGAAGTGGACGTAGCGACTGCTGTCTTTGGGATGCCTCATTCTGCATTGAATGTTCTCAGACGTTGCTTCGATTCCAAGTACCTTCCACATCTTCCTGTTCCATGTCGCACCGTCGCAAGTGACAAAGTCCACGAAAAGACCGGCATCTTCTGCAAGCAATACAGCCTCCACTAGAATTTTCGCGAGGAGCTCTCCTTTAACGTTCCCGTGTGTTGCGAATACTGCTAATACTTGTGTCCACTTGCCGGTGAAAGGTGCAAACATAATCACCATGCCATGGTCGCATGGCTCACATTTATCTTTTTTTGATGTAAAATGGCCTAAATCAACCAAACCTTCAATAGTGGCGGCGGATGTGACTGACAAGTGTTCAGATAGTTTCATTTCATCAATTAGCAGCCCTCCGTGTCGCTTAAAGGCGTCCATAGATCTCGTCTTTTTTTTTAGAGCACTCAGGACCCTTGTGCAGAAACCGAACCCTGTCTTGTACGAGCTCAAATATTTCCTCAAGGTGTCTTCACTTGGTAGGACTAAGATCTTGTTGCTTCTCATGTATTTGTAAAGCTTTGGACTTTTCATCTTCATGAGCAGACACTCTAAGATCCAATTCTGAGTGAATTTTAATCCCCTGGTACTCGCTCGTTTGGAAGCGCGGAAAAAATGAAGTGCTGCTTCTCTTTGTTTTGGAGGCATGTCAGCAATACTTTCTTCAAAAGTGCCTTCCTTTATAGCTTTGTTCTGCTTCACCATTTCTCTCAGTTTTGATTTCAAGTTTGACACCCGTCCAAGCAGTCGGCGATTTTGCTGTCTCAAGGTTTTCGTTTGGCGACAAATGGCTCGCTTTGCAGAAGTGGCACCAGTAGCAGCAGTGGTACGCATCACCTTACATTTTTTCCTAATCAGGGACAGCCTTGCCTTGGCGCATGGACGGCATTTTACACCTGCACAGTTAAAAAAAAAAGGTCTGATTACATGTTTACGCCCCACAGACAGACACACACAGACGCCTACCCACAAACAGTCGCATTAACGCACACAAACATATGCACGCACGCACCGTCAACCATCAAGCTTTCTCGATTTGAGAGGAGTAATGGGAAGAACATTAACTCACAGTAGTGTTAAACAGTGATAAATTTCACTCGAGTTCTTTTTCTTTTATTTTCGTGATAATAATTGCACACATGAAATGTAAACTTGTGCGATCTTTTTTTTTTATACCTCTGTAAGAGAAACACCCCTGCCCGTTAGCAATTAAAACATGCAAATGGAAATAAGATGTGCATATTAATGTCGTTTCCTTGCATATATTTAGACAACTCGTTCAAAATCACCATAAATTTTATCAAAACGTCCCTCTCCTATACGCTTTAATTTAAGCTCTGTCCGTATCGGTGAAGTACATAGACCTACTTACCTCCGTTAGGTACAACACCTTCACAGCTTCTGCTGTAAAACGCTCCTCCATGGCATCTGAAGTTCCGTCCAGAGGCAAATGTCTCAAGTGGGCCATCATTAGGTTCATTTTTCCTTATGGAGCCAGGGCATACAGAAGCTGCGTCGATTTTTTGCATATGTTCCTCTGCCTGTGCGAAAGATAGAGCCCGTTTTTCGTCGTAAGGACTGCCGTTTATATGTGTTCGGCAGAGAAGTCCGTCTTCTTCTTCTTTCAGGAATATAACTTTGTCATGGGATATTTCTGAAGGCGGTATTAGTGTGGAGGTGACATAGAAGACACCATCAACATGCGGGAACTGAAGGGCTGTCCATCTGGAGGTTGACGGCATCGTCAGTGTAAGAAGGGAACGTCTTCCTTCATTCGTGGTACCGCCTTGTGTCTCCGAATTGCAGTCCATCACGGGATGCGCTGCCGACTTCACACACTTTGCATGCCTCTCTGTCAAGCTCGCAGCGCTAGAGGACCTTTTTTTCTCTTCGCACTTGGTCATTGATGGCCCGGGGGCATCTTGTTTGGCATGCTGACGACTTGTCGAATTATTAGTCACCTGGTCACCCCCGTCGGAACGTTGTTGTCCACTCAGTATAACAGGCACTGCTCCGACTGCAAGCTTTGGCCGGTCACGGGGCAACCTGACCTCTCTACCGCCTATAATGTGCACGAAGTCTCGAAGCAGATGATGCGGCTCGAAATGTGCCTCGCAGACCACACTTGAACTTTTCATGTGCCCTCTTGGCAAGCGTAAGCTGTACTCCCATTTCTCCCTCAGGGTCGGAGATGTTGGAACGGCGAATAGCGAACACTTACTGCCTTCAGTAGATCCTATGTAGGTAACCCCGCAGCCGGGCACACAGCAGTTGCCCTGCCGCTTTGGTTTCATTTGCGAAAGGTGTAACAGGACGTGAGACTCTCACTTGTACAGAGGGGTCCACATCTGAAGGGGAACACGCGTGTCGTCTGCTCGGCTACACCGCCAGCCCGCTGCGGCAACTATGAGGTTTCGCGCACGAGCACTGCGGACAGCGCTTTTTTATCGTCTGCCACAAAAATATGAACACGTTCACCTGTCTGTTTCCGCACACCTCGTGATAGCTTTATTAATGTTACACGCCAATATCTTACGCATTTAGTGTGAGGAGGAACACTGAAAACTCGAGCAGACAGAACATCGCTGCTTTACCAGTATTCAAACCTTCGCGACTTCCCGCCGACTGAAAATCGTTTACTTTCAGTTTTTCTTTTTCTTTTTTTAAGCGAGCCAGTGGGCGGCGACCGCAGGCGAGTGAAAGCACACCGTCTCTCTTTTATTCGCTAAAATCTCGCAAGCTATGCTTTTAAGTTTTCGTTGAATCCCGTGCGGTGGCGCTGCAAATAAATGCGCTTGCTGTCAAGTTTTTTTCTCCTTTACTTCATATCTCGCGTAATGTTTTGTAGCAATATGTAGAAACTGAAGGCATATTTAAAAAAAAAGCCAAACAATACAGTTGTACACGTGAAATTAAAAAAAAAATCTATGGTCACAGCGGTGATTCGAACCTGGGTCTTTTTAGTGGGATGCGAGCATTCTACCCCTCGACCACTTCGGCGGAGCTGCGCACGGCTCTTAAAACGACGACAGGTCACAGACTACCGATCGCAGCGCCACTAGCGGATTTGACCCCGTTTGGGCCTCACTTTTTGGATCTCGGTCCGGGCACTCCCCTTGTTCTAGTACACTCTAGCATTGTGTCATTCCTACAATTTTTTTTTGTAACTTAATTTCGATTTGAAATAGCGATATCAAGTTTGCAGGAAAAAAAAATAAGAAAAATTTTGAGACAGCAATTTAGCAAGAAAATCGTTTAGTCGCAGTGATGTATTCTTGAACGGCGAATAAAACATCCCTGTGGCTGAAACCCAGTGTAGAGGCTCCAAATGAAAGAAGATCAGGCTGTGATAGTTGCAAGCCCAGTCTTTGAAGAGGTGGTGCTAGTATGCTTTGCCTGAATAAATCGAAACGGCGACAATGTAATAAAAAATGACTGATCGTTTCCTCTTGATTACAGTAAATGCACATAGGGGAATTCAATATGCCTGATCTATGCAAGTAAAAATTGAGGGAGCTAACGCGGCAACGAAATTTCGTGATGACAACTTCCATCATCCTTGATTTAGTCAGTTCACTGCGCCAGGGAAATAACAAGTGTTTGTACTCTGGAGAAGCCGTCAGTGCAGGGTCAGATAAATTTTGCCTGATTTTAAGTGTGCGAAATCGCGCCACCGTAATGTATACTGTATGGGGGAAAATAGGAATAATTTTAGATTCACTTCTACAACTCGCAGCGACCTCGTCTTCGAGATCAGTTTTTAGAAAAAAAAATTGCTGCAGTTTTTTTTTAACAAAAGAAAACTAACTTTTGTCGTGATATGAGATGGTGGCCTCTGTTGCAACTGGGTGAAAATTTAAAAACTCAGCGTTTGTAAATACCTTAGTAAAAACAATAAAAACGGCACGCCATAGGGTTTTATTTCTGATCTCGGAGGCGTGTAATTTCTGTAAATATTACCGCGTGCCTTATTTTGTACCATTAACCCTTCAGCTTAGGATCTAGTTCCGGTCCTGCGTAAACATTTCCCTTCTCTTTTCATTTGTTGCATTTGTCTCGTTTGTTTGGATCTCATGGCGAACGCCTTGGGACGATTAACGCAGCCGAGCGCTGTTGCTGTCTAAAAGAACGCATGCCAGCTGTGTCCACGCCAGTATTACATTCCTGCCCCTCTTCGATTGCGGTTGTGCTTCGCGGTGTGGAAAACGCCTCGAGCTTCTGCATCGTCCGTGGTGGTGTCGTCGCGACGGAGTGTTGTGTTGTGGTAGTTGTGGATTGACCCCGCGCTACCACGAAGGAGGTGAATTTGTTTTGCTTTCGCTTCCCGTGTCATACCGTCTCGTGTCGCTTCGCCGTTGCCGCAGCTGTCGAGGCAAACGCTTGATTGAAAAGGGGAAACTCGTGACATTGAGGTCTCGTTTCGGAGTTCTCGGATCGTGCAACAAGTAGGCAAAGTGCGGGGAAGCACAACCACTTGCTTCGTTGCGGGCGTCGCCGGAAAAGAATATGTTTGGGTTACTCGGTGTACTTTGGTTTCACCCGCCTAATCCCTGTAACGGAGGTCGTATCGGTGATTATCAAGATTTGCCGTATCGCTTTCGTGTGTCGCTTGGCGTTGAACGCGCAGCTGTCCGTCGCAGATGAATCACGTTTCCAAGTCGTGCGTGCGCTTTGCATGTCTTAATCGACTGGACAGTCGTTCTTTCGCCTTGCTTCGGACGCTTGACCACTGCGGAATCGCAGTAGCCTCTATCGCTGCACGATTCGAATCGTCCTGTGAACGGAAAAGTGGGCAAAATAGAAAGTGGAGCGTTCGTGCGTGTTCGTCTCGGCGTGTAACCGCGTTGCGCACGCAGAAGGCGGTGTTAACTCTATTCGTGACGCTCGAAAGACGCGTGTCAGAAGCGCTCGGAAAAAAAAGGCGAAAAAGAGCGCATTGCCAAGGTTGCGTGAAAAAGGAATTCCGCGACTGCGTCAGTGGGCAACTACGCTGGGCGTGTGAGTGCCAGACTCGAGAAATGATCGCGCTGTTTTTGCAACGTCACGCGTGGAGAGTGAGTAACAAGTCGCTCGGAATACGTTGTCGCAGATGTTACTTTGATACGTTGACATTTCGGGCGTGTGTGTGCAAACGGCAGAGCAGGTTAACAGAGAAATGGCGCCCTATGTGGTGTTATGTTTCATGTCGCTAAAGGCACACAATTTGGCCAACTGGATCCTGCATTTGAACTGATATTTATCATGATGACTTTGCCCTGTCCAGTCTTTGACAACGATTAGTAACACAATGTGTATTGTAGTATCAGCTGTATATTGTATCAAAATTTTCATAATTAGTGTCGTGATTTGCAGGTGTAGATTTTTAGCTATCACGTTGTGGCATTTTGCATATAGCATGCATGCTGTGCATGCTAAAAGGGCCATCGAGTACAACGGCGAAATTTCTCATTCATTCACTCGTCACTTAACTGCCTACACAGAATGGATGCCCTGCTTTGTAACTGCGATGCCCACACAGGCAGTTCTACATTTTGTTCAGAACTATTCAGCTATCTTAGTAGACACATTGGAACGGTCGGCAATGCATAAGTGTGCGGCATTGCTTTAGTGAGCTGTCTTTCAGATGACCCGCCGCAGACGCGACAGCGTGAACAGACATGTTTCCAATTTGTGATTTCATTTTCTTTGTGGTTGACATGTGTGTGTGAGTCATATCAAGCCGTGTACAATAGGTCCAGCTGTTCCGTACATGGGCTCAAGTTTTCCCAGTGTATGTTTTTCTCAAGTGGCACCCGTCATTCCTTTTTGCCAAGAGGAGTGTGTGGGAGAAGGTGTTTGCGGCTCCATGCTTTGCAAAGTCAGCGCAAGCATGATTGAGAAACATCGCAGAAAGCGCATGAACAAGTAGCCTTTTTTCATTTCGCTGATGTCAGCCCTGCTGATATTCAAGAGTTAGTATAACCTGAATGGAGTGCTCATGACCTACTCTCTTCTCTATGACCTCTCACATTTTGGCAGAGTATATGAGGTTACGAACTTGCAACTGCTGACACTTCAGAATGTTTATATGTTAACAGCTGTTCTTTTGATTATTATGGTGGTATGCATGGCAAGCAGCCAGCAAAATCATGGCCTGTCATTGCGTACCGATACACATAGTATCACTGCTGTAACAGGAAACAGTACTCAAGACATATTTTATTCTTCGGAGTTGTGTTGCTGTGTTAAGAGATGTGACACTGGCTGCTAATGCCCTTTACTTCAAGAATTATTTGTTTGTCATTGAAACACATGTTGCCTCTTATTACACATTATGTGCAACATAAAGCAAGAATAGCAATAAAACACAAGATTCATTATATTAGCAGCCACTAGTAGTGTGAAATCACATTATCTGTTAGAAAGATGAAGAAATTTGCTTTCCACATTGGAAAAAGCTTTTAGATAAGTAGCCAGGGTATAGCTTAATCATTATCATTTATCTGCTTTACTAACTTGACAAACCAGACACATAAATTCCAAACACATGCTCTGTGTAGGACTTCAACAAAAAAAAATTGCGGAAAGAAGTGATCGACATTTAAAAACCAACGTGACGTTTTCTTCAATTGATAGTATTGCTTTGTTACTTTCTGGCAGCATGATATTGCATCTGTTGTTATGATACAAATGTAAATGTGGAAGAAAAAAAAAAAGCTTTGTGTAAGCGTAGTATTTATTCTATAAAATGAATTTTAAAAAAATATAATACACTTGAGAAGTTCTTTTCAGCACGTAGCCCCCTGTAGGCTGCTAAAATGAATGAGTTTTTTTCGTAACAAGCTATTCAGCAACAAATTTATAAAGGGAGATTAAAATGAAACAATGAATGGGTATAGGTTGATAATTTATGCCCTAAAAACTCTATGTTGTTAATTTCACCATCGCAGGTAAATAGAGAAGAAAATAGGTTATAACAGATTATTAATAGAGGAGGAAATCAAGGTCAATGTTTCGTATTTGAGCTTAACGTCGAAATATCCGCACATGACTTCGTCACGGCGTTCTCAGATATTCTTTTTGTGTTTTTACCAAAAGTCTTCTTTCAGTATTGTGAAAGTTTAATTTACCAGTACACCTTTTTTTTTGTTATTGTCTTTTGAAATCCCTGCGTGGATAGAGTTGCACTTGTGCGAAGAATAATTTTTTATTCATGATTTCCGCATATAACCATTCACTTGCTGAACAAAAATGTCATTTTTCAAGGTGTTCTTAAAAATCGAAATTCAGGGTCAATTAAAAATGGCGATTCCTCTTGCTCACTTATATTGCTTTCTTATGATCTCGCACTGACGGATATAGAGTCCTTGTGCCATCTGCACTACTGGCTAGGCATGAAAAGAAAGGAATGAAATACATTGTCAAATTTTCCTGACTCTTGGTGCACTCTTGAGCTATTGTGGATTCTTACTAAATGGTTTCTTAAATTGGCTTCATTTTGAGGGCAACTTAACTTTTAGCCCACACTTAAAATCAAATGTTGTGATAATTAAACTGATAAATAGCACATAGCTGCCTTTTCATTGCTTAAGGCTACAGTAGATACAAGCACTCCTCTTGTGTTCGCATGAATGAAAAAACAATAAAAGAAGGAAAGAGCAGCTAGAATATGTAGTTACCTATACCATGCAACCCTGCTCGTATATCTTCCACTGCCTTGTGTCAAATGGTCGGCTGTTGCGGCTTCTGTGCAAAATGAGCAGGCACGGTGTCTACTTGCACTCTCCAGCATGACTCATGCCCTCCTGAGCTCTACATTTCATTTTGTCATACGTACACCTACAGCAAGCTGTACCCTGGCACAGTAGTCTGCATTCCGTCTCCACATCTCTCACTTTTTTTTCAAATGCGTGCTTTGCTGTTTCTGACATCTGTTCCTGTGCATTCCTGTACTGTATTCCTCGAGATTATCTCGCATCCACTTTTCGCTCACATAAAAGCAAAGATAAAGAAATTCTGTGTTAACAGTTGGATGAGGTTGCTAAGTCTGAGTCTGGAAGGCTCTAGGCTATATTATGTGTACAAAGAAGGCAGCAGCACGTGCATGCTAGATGCAGTGTATAGTCAGTGGACAGGATGCTTCGTCAACAACTGTCTGCGATTGTGTAAAGTGTAAACATTTTCAAGATCGTTTTGTAATTGTATTATGACTAAACTGACAGCGGTGGTGGGTATGAGAATGTTTGCCGTTAATGACTGTACAGTTTTTAATCTACCGTGTCTCACTAAACTTTCTCACTATTTACATCTGTTCATGTATCACAAGTTCAGAACGCTGAAGGCGTATCCACTTGTTCAAATTTTGATAGAAATGCTTTGTATTTCATGCCACATTGCTTTAGGAAAACTTTGTACTAAATTGAGAAATGAAAAAAAAAAAAAACATCCCTTAGCTGCATATTTGAGAACAGTCATCTCAAAACCAATGTGTGATTCCTGGCATTTTTTTATCAAGGACTGCTGACAGAATCTTTATAAGTTGTGAAATGTGCAAATGCTACCTGACAACCCCTTATTGAAATAATTATTCAAGTTATAATCACAGTAGTAGTGAGAGATCCTGCATGTTGGATGCATATTACATGTGGGAGATCCTGCATGGTTTCAAGGAGGATACACAAAGCAGAAATAGAGATAATATTTGAGACAGGCTTGATTCAGTATGTTTATTGCTTGTTTTAATTTGTTCCATTGTGCTATTGTTTTAGGAAAGCAAGAGTTATTAAATTATCAGTTCTGGCATAGTACAGTGAGTGGTTGACAGTATGAAAATCCAAATATAGTGTCATCATTATCTAAATATTACAATACAGATAGTAAAAAGTGTGCTGCCAACAAAAGATAAGCTTGTTGTGTCTGCTGTGCAACGTCCCAAAACCACCATATAATTATGAGAAACACCGTAGTGGAGGGCTCTGGAGATTTCAACCACCTGGGTTTTTTTAACGTGCACCCAAATCTAAGCACACAAGGCTATAGCATTTTCACCTTCATCAAAAATGCAGCCGCCGCAGCCTGGATTCGATCCCGTGACCTGCGGGTCAGCAGCTGAATACCTTAGCTACTAGACCACCGCGGCGGGGCTTTTTTCATGATTAGCTACTGCTGTTAAAAAAAAAAAAAAACGGGCAAAACTTTCCTGGCATCATAAGAAGCTAGGATAAAAATGTCAATAATTTTTTGTTGTTGTTGTTAATTTGCTTCAGCTGCATACAAAAACAGGCAGTTCTTGTGTTACAATACTAGTTTTTTCGAATTCACTTTAATTATAGATTTACAGAAATGGACTATGGTATACCTATGTTAATGGTGGCTAAGTTGATTTACATCAATGTAGTATTGTTCAGGAACACTGCGCTTATTTATTGTGTTAATTGCAGCTGCCAAACCTGCCTCCGTTTCATACCAAGTCTTCAACTCCTCTACATCTGTGCAATGTAATTATTCTGTGCCTCTTTGTGGCTCTTGTTCCTTCTTTCAACACTAGTGTCGCCAACAATGCTACTAAGTTGAACGCTCACGTGTGGTTCGGGTAAACTTTGCAGGGGGACATGGGCAAAGCCAGCCGTAGATGATGCGAACTGAAGTATGTGCGAGCAGACCCGAGTGCTGCCAGAGTTTGTGGGCAGCCAGGCAAGCGGGCGCCGCATCGACCCGCTGGACAAAAGCAGCAGCTTGTGGTGGCGGCTAACTGGCCCCAACCGACACGCGGCCACACGCCAAGCCAGCACTGCAGAGGGAGTTTACGCGTCTATCAAACCACTGGCAAAAAGCCTGCCTCATGTAAGTGTTGAGTCGATCACTTTACCTATCCAGAGATCAATCCTAGCTCCTCTCCTTCCGGTAGGAAAAACAACTTCATTAAAGGGAGATAGTGATGATCCAAGAATTGAAAAATATTGTTGCCCATCCAGACAAGTTCGAACTGCAAATGACCAGGAATACTGTGTCTGCACAAATAGTAGACAGGAGTGGTGTAAGAAAAGCCAGAATTTCAATTGTACTGGTTTGCGCAAATGGTCTGTGGCAACATAGAGAAGAGATGTTGATTTCTTAAGGTTAGGTGGTAGTAATATTTCTGGAGAAAAAGCTGCCTAGTTATGGTTATTTAAACTAAGGCACGAAGAATGAGAAGCCGTAAAGGAAGAGTCACATGAATGCGCTGAGCACAGTGATCCAGTAAAAAAATCTCATTGCCAGTGATTCAAGCATAAAAATTTTATTGCCATAATTCTTCAGCGGTGCTTGATAATTCACATTTGTTGATTGGCATGAACGTATGTCCTACCTCACTGCATGCCTCTGTATTTTCTCATTCGCTTTAAGATGCCCCGCAATGCAGGTTGACAAGCCTGCTCCAGAGGAGGGATCTGGTGAGCCTCCGGGAGTCCAGTCTAATGTGCGGCAACAGCAGCGGTCATCAAACGCATCCCTGAACCACGGAAACATCCACTGGCAATCACGTAGCCTGAATGCGTCGCCCAGTGATACGCTGGACTCGCCTGCAGATGCAACGAGTCCGATTTCACGCTCGTGCGAGTCTTTGGATGAGCCCGAGATCGACTACTCGGACAATGAGGAAGCCTCCAGCACCAATGCAGTTAAAGAAACCGCCGAGCCATCATCTTACCACTTTGTGAGTTATTCTTAAGAGTACTCATTCTAGCTACATAGGAATAGATGGGATAAGCCATAGAGCTAAAGAAATATGTGTCGCATACAAAACGTAGTGCTCGTAATCACATACATTGTGACATTGTTCTAGTTTCGCATTGTCTTACTGTCCTGAAGAAGGAAAAGTCATGGCTCATGCCCTTGCTACAGGACTGAGTAATGTGCTAGATATGCACCTCTAGCCACACTTGCGCTTGGTTCCTGGTCAGTGTCGTGTGCCATCTCGTAATAGGCATGACTGTGTACCTTGAAACACTTCACAAATTGGAATTTTGCTTTTAAACGTACACAACTTGCTTAAGTAGTCGAGCACAACTCTTCACGGGGGTATTTAGAGTGTTCAGGGAAAGCTGATTTATTTTGATGTTCATTATGAAAAGTGCAACATAAGTCAAGTAAAGCTATGATAAATTCACCACCTAAACTTTTGTACTATCAGGATAGTTGAAATAACGCATATATATCTTTCTGGCATGTGGCAATCCAGTTAACCGGTGTGGCAAAATGGGCTTGTTGGTTTTTGGTAATGGTGGACTCTGTACAGAAATAGCACAGACATTGGAGGACGGTTAAAAAACACTTAAGAGATCTATAAAGCACTGCATTTTATTCATAACGGATGTTGTCTTGCTTTTATTCTGCAGAGGCGTGAAAGGGACATGCCAATATATGCCAACTTTCCACCGCTGCCTTGCCCTCCAAGCCCACCTCATCCATCACCCGACGAGCAACCGCTGCGTTTTTTGAGCGACCACTGGGCTGAATTCGATGCACGTGGGGTCGGCCGGAAGTTTTATTACAACTTTCACACCGGACAACGCTCGTGGAAGCCTCCCAGGCGCCGAGGGGAGCTACCTACCACTCATGTTAGTACGAGTGCCCAATGTAACGTGATTTCTGTGCTGAGTTATTGAAGCATGCTCACAAAAACACAAGTGAGAAAAAACTATGTTCTATGAACTTGTGATCGTAGGCAAGTGCACAGGGAGCCCCCACCTCCTCCGTACGCACAAACATACATAGAGGGACGGGGGGAGAGAAGTGCAATGATTCTGGTCCACAGATTTGCTGATTCGCGTGTTTTTTAAACTCCAGTTGTGGCTGGTGTAGTTTTTGTTTTTTACAATAATGAAAACCAAGGACTTCTGATGTTGCATTCAAAGATTTATTTCGTTCCCACCTTTATACTGGAAAGCCAGGAACATACGGCAGGCCTCCTTGAGAAGCACAATACTCTTCATTTTCATGTTTGCATTCACTTCAGAGCTTGTTTTCTTTCTGACTCGACCACAGGGGTGAGAGGAGCACCACGATTGCATTGGGCAGACTCAATGGAGAACCCAGCACTTGCTTATTTTTCTATTCTGATTGAACATTTCGTACAACATTTATGAGCATACCAGGGTCACACTTATATGTTTTCCAGGAAAGGGATCGTGCCAGCCTAGCTCCGCAGTCGGTCTCACCGCAGATATCTCAACGCAAGGGCCCCCCGCCTCTTCCACCAGCCAAAAAAAAGCCACCCATCCAAAGCAATCCACTTTCCTCAAGCCAAGACAGTTTGCTGTCATCCAGCCGCGACAGCTTGTTGTCCTCCAGCCGAGAGGACCTTCTGTCCAGCAGCCGAGACAGCCTGTCGCAGTCCTCTTCTACTGGTCATAGCCGTCCTTCTGTAAACCATCCTGGTTCTTCTTCTCTTCCACGAGAGAGCTCTAGTGAGGAGTCCGTGCAGCAAAATGGCAACAGCAAATTCTACTTTGCCCGTGGAAGTCGGCTGGCAATGGCTTACCAGTCAGCGGCAGACAGGGTAAGCCATGCTGTTGGCAGGTGATCGTACAGTTTTGTGCGTAAAATAATAAAGAGACGTTGGACGTTACTGTGCACATGCGCCACTAAAAGGTCCGTTGTGCTAACAAGGGAAGGACCTTCCTGCTTCAAACAACGCTGGGGACTCTTGCCTTGAAGCTCACTTTCTTTTATCTCGCAAATTGTTTTGTAAGGCGAACTTAGTCTCACTTGACCTTTTATGCCCACAAATCAGAAATTCCCGCTTTGTCATTACGCCTGTCATTGTTTCTTGCGATGAGGTAGAAATTGTTGTAGCAGATTGTTCTCTTAGTGACACTGAGTTGAGCATCTTCTGCTGGGACTGATGCTTATGAAATGTCTACTGCATCTTACATAAAGTTAGGTGACATACGTTTGGTTTATAAACTGTAGCACTCCAACATTACCATTTCCCAGCAAATCCAGAATGATTTTAGCCTCACAAAATGATGCAAGCTGTTAACTACAATGATTCCTTCGTCCCCCCCTCCCAATTTTTCCTGTTTCCACTGTAACTTGTGCTTATGTACAGGTATCAAAACTGTTTTGAAATTCTGTTAATTTGCCATTTGAAAAAATGACATCAAAAGCTGCATAATGTGGATATAATCGTGAAAAGAGTTCACTGAGCTGCTTGATACTAAAATCAGCGGTCAATGCAAAAGAATACTCTGGTGGAGTGTATAAAGTTATGCACAAAAGTTTATAGGCTTCTCTGGTGCGGGGGGATGTCATTTTGGTGATAGCATGGTGTGAAATGCTGCATGATGAAGTGCATATCGATGCCAATAGAATGGATGTCATTGACTGAAACACAGGAGCTACCAGAATATTTTCGGAAAAAGGCCATTGTTGCACATTATGTGATAGTTGTATATAATGCTTTCAAAAGTATATTGTGTCATCAAATTACAAGCAAAATTTGTCACTTCCCTGTAGTATTAGCTAATAACCAGCAAACAGTGGCCAAGAGCTTGAGATGTGCATTTAGTGGCTGCAGTATTCAAAAAGAAATGTATCAGAAAAACTTTTCTTTTACCTTTTCTATGTGTATATATTTTTTAGTTTTAATTCAGCTCCAGTGATGCTGGTCACATTATTTCAGCAATTTTTAGCTCTGCACTTGAAGTAAGTGAGGAGCACAGCTTGTAAAGACTCACCTTGGAGAACAAACTTGGATGACTGTGGCTGCAACACGTCAGGGCATCGTTACACATTGCTTGAAAGAAAAGGCTGTGAAACCACGGCGTACCTCACTTCAAATGGGGCAGTTTTGTTGCCGGTGCCTCCTGTAGACTTCCTGGCCACTTCCTTCTTTCTCTCACCCCAGAGAGGAAACGCTGCCGCTTTCACTTCCTGTGTCGCGTCGGCTAGGTTTCCCGTCAGTGAGGTCTTGTGAGATGTCGAGCAGTGGTTCGTTTTGGGCAGGCAGCGTAGGCTTTCTATCGTAATGGACCTCTTCTTCAAGAACAAGCTCAACAGGGCTTTCTCCTATGAACTGGAAAGCCTCCCATCTTCATTGTGCCAGGCTACAGGGATGTTGGAATCCCCTTACAGCAGTGCGGGCTCGGAGACTGACTGCTTCTTTTCACCTTCCGATGTGACTTCGTTGTCGTCACTGACGTCTTCTGAAGAAGAGGTATCGGTGACGTTTTTCCCGCCAAGATGTTGGAGCTTTTTACCTAAATTTGTCAAAATTAATTTCAGATGCCTGCTTTATGTCGGTTTGCTTATGTGCACCACCATATTTGGCGAGTTCCTGTTCTTGCACTCACGCACACGCAAGTGTGTTGCTTTTGTGTTGCTTTCATATTCTGCTTTGAAGCTAAAAAAGGTGAAGGAATTACTTATGTTCTGTGTGGAGACAAGAAACTTCCCTGCATATGTGTATACATCCATACTTCCACGCTTGCAGTGCACGCCTTTTGAAAACAATGACATGTGGGGCTGGAGTTATGGTTTTGTCAGCATGATTTTTCGAGGCTCTGTTGAAGTCGGAAACTCCACGGGCTGGTTGTTGTGCTGCCAGAATTTCTAGCCATGCTCTACATCACTCTCCTTGTCTATGCCATGATACAGTACCCAGGTTCTACTGAAATTCACATGTTCAGTTCAAGCAAAATATCATACAGCTGCCAGGTACTGCCACATGTGAGCACAAGCAGAAGTTGCTTCTTGACTTGCTTTGATAAGTAGGCCTGTGGTATTGAGAAATCACTGCAGTTGCTGCAAGTCTTTCCAAAAAATGTAGTAGCAGTAGGAAGCAGTTGCTTTGGCTAGTTTGTGAGGTAGAATTGACATATTTGCACAGTGCAAATATATAAATAAATGAATATATACACACACACTCACACACAACACTAATAATAAAAAAAACGAGGATATAAGAAATGGCTGAACATGTGTGCTGTGTTAAGCGCACATGTTGTGTCTCTTCTTATGTCCACTTTTTTTTTTTGCACTGTGTAAACATGTAGTCCTAGTAGTGGTGGTAGTGGTAACATTATTGTTCAGCTTCATGCATTCAGGCTTTAGTGGTGCACATTCAGAAAAGATCCTTTAGATGCTCAAATCAACGGCACTTGTCATCCTGTGCTTGTAGTCTCGGGAGGGAGGGGGGGTATAACAACTTCGTGGCATTAAGAGAGTGATAATGTCCATTACTATTCAATGACATGGTTGTCGGACGTTTTGCAAGCACAGTACTGTTGGGAAAATAGGCAGCTTTTCTCGTTTCCCACTATTTCATGTCAGCGCATCTTAATTCAACAGGATTTTTTCCCTTGCTATATAATGTTACCTTCAAGTGCATCCTTTTTTCCTTTCAACTCTTTAAATTTATATTTCTTTCCCGTAGTGGTACAGCTCAGTCGAAGATCCCAGCCAGATGACTGGTGATAGGCCCCGTCTGCTTCCTGGCAGTTCCATAGAGGAGGAAACTGATTCCATCTCTGAGAGTCCATCGCCATGGGAGCGTAGGGCACCTGTGGCCGAGAACAGCAGTGGGGCACGGGGTAGCCATTACCCAGGTATTCCGCCAACGCTGACGCCGAAGCTGAATCGTCTGAAGCCCACGCCTCCGCCAGTGCTACCCCTCTCCTCGTCCCTGTCCGAAGCAAAGCACGCCAGGGCTATGAGGACCCGTTCTATGATTCTGCCCGAGGACTACCCGTTGCATGGTCCGTCCGTGGCAGAAGCCATAGAGACCTTTGACACACTGGAGGCAAGTGTCCTATTTTTGCTGACGGTGCACAAATGTACATTCAAAAATAGGAACGTATGTACAGGCAACAAAATTTTCAAATGAGTGGTACTGCGCAAGCATTAAGGAAGGCAGCAGAAAAAGAGATCGGAAAAAGCACAGTTTCATTTTTTAAGCTCCCCAAAAACAAGACAAGGACTAATCCTTGTAACTAGCGAACAAAACAACAACTAAGGTTAAAAATGACAGAGGCAAAAAAGGCACAACAGATGAATAAACAATTTTCAATAACATTTTGCAGCGCTGCTAAGGGGAACTATCAAAGGACATCAAAAAGCAAGAACAAAAAAACTTGGAAAGTTCCACGTAACCATTGAGGAATTAAATTTTTCTGTGGGAAAGCAAAATAGAAGGCATGCTGATGCACTTGTCATGATGCTACCTAATGAAAAGGCATCTATGATTTCTTTTTTCTGCTTCTCTCTTAACTTGGTCATGATTCCTATGTATTCTAATTGCGTTATCCATCCACAGCCCCTACAGTGGAAATCAAAATGCCCACCAATCCTGCCCCTGTGTGTAGTAGCAGCCTTTGCCACCTACGCAGTGGTTCTGTAATGAGAAGTGTCGCACCTCAGACAGAGCTGGAGTTTATACGTATAAGCAGTGGACTTGTTAAACGAAACCCAGCAGAAGTTACATTTACTGAAGGATGAACTGGGTTGCAGCATTCAGCTTCAAAACCAGTCATATTAGTGGCAGTTTTTCCATTTAAGCAGCAGTTTGGTTTAAGAGTTTCCTTTACCGGGAGTTCTCTGTACAGTGGAACTCATGCTGTACAAACATAGGAGGCACTTATCGTTCTCTGTTCCTCACCAGATGGTGACACGCCAGGGTACTCTGAACAAGACAGAGTTGGTCCGAGCGGGGAAGAAGCAAAAGAAAAGCTGGTCACCTGCATACGTGGTGCTCACCAATCGAAACCTCTTTCTCTACAAAGACATCAACACGGCTCAGGAGGTAAGCCCTTGTCATTGGCAAAACTGCCCTCGCAGGCTAACTCAGTTTGGGCGACTACACAACCCTTTTACTTAGGTTCCTTCGCTACAGTGCATCCAAGTGACATCGTAGCATATTTTGCAAATCTAACCATGTTTCATAGCACACCTCACTCTTCATTGCCATACGTTTTACCATATGTGTTTTTACATATTAGAAAAAAAATAAGTTGGGTAGCGTAACCTTTTGCAATTAACATAAGCGTACACTGGATACAGCTTCTTTATTGCATTTCACCCGCTTCAATTGTTTATGGGGCTGTTTTCTGCAACTGTCGCCACGCATTCCTTGAAAGAATTACCGTATTTACTCGATTCTACCGCGCCCTCGATTGTAACGCGCACCCGATTTCCACCGCGAAAAAAAAAAAAAAACGTAAGACATCGATTGCAACGCGCACCCATTTTTCTCGCTGGCCCGCACGATCACACCACTCGAAAAAACGACTCCTTTCGTGAGCGTCTTCCATTTAAATATGAGGTACGGGCGAAGCTTGTGCCCATCTGACGTGTAACAGACCATTGCCGTCACTGTAGTTTTACCGTAAACCGATGTCAGCACGCGAACTTGCTTCGCCCCCTTCTTCTCGACGGTTGTGGTGCCAGGCATGTCGAAGTAAAGAGGCGTCTGATCGGCATTCCCGATTTGCCCAAGCAGGTAGCCGTTGTTGCGCCGCAAGTTTAGGACGAACCTCTGAAAACTGTGAAGCTTTTCATCGTATTCCTCCGCAAAACTTTTCGCATATGCATGTTCTCCTTCGGAGGAAAAAGCCTTTCCTCTTCATAAAGTTAGTTATCCAGCACCTGCTCGCTTTAAACTGGCTCCGCATTAGACTTTTTTCTAAGACTAATTGCATAGCCCGCACTTGGAGCAGTTCTGTCGTCACGGGCCGATGTGCCGCTCGCTGCGCAAGCACATACTCGCCGAGCAGCTCCTTAATTTGCGGAAACCGACCCTGCTGTGGTCCACTGAAGCCTTTGCGAGAAGCTTTGCTGTCGACATTAGATTCGAGTAATTACGGTACGTGGCTTTCTTTTCTTGTGATATTTTGTTTAAACGCAACAGCGGTATTTCCTGTGATATCGCGTACTCAGCATACGCTAGGACGCACTTTGCAGACTCCATGGCAAACTCGCCCTATGACAACATTGATATTTTAGCAATTTACAACCATTGCAGCAAGCTACAACCGAAACATCACAACAAACAGTCGATGACAAGATCAAGGACAAAATACTGCCTCTGCCTGGCTATCCACATGAGATGTGACTGTAAAGAAGGTAGCCTATACCTTGTTTGGCTTTAAGTACGCCCAAATAACAAGCATGAAGAGCAACTGAAGCAATGATTAGGGGTGCTACCATGTTGCCGGAAATTTTCACACTTCTTTCTGGGCGACAAGCGTTTATTTCTGGTTTCCCGAAAACCTGCGACGCAACAAGCGACGATGACGAATGGCCCTTTGCAACAGCAAATCTTGTCACTTGTTGTCGTCGCTCGAAGATCACATGCATTTGGTTGGGAAGTGATCGTTGGTTGGCGTGGGCAGTTTCGTGACCTTCACTCACTGTGTGGTTGTGAGCTGCTATGTCTCCAGAGAACGTTGATACACTCGCACCGTCCATGAATTTCGCTGTGGCCGATGGATAATTCGACAAGAGAGGGGACCTGCTGCGCACGGATAAAAAGAAAAACAAAGAACCGTGTGTGGCTGCTGCGGGGGGTGGAGAGAGTGTACTTAGGCGAGTGAGCATAATAATAATAATAATAATAATAATAATAATAATAATAATAATAATAATAATAATAATAATAGACAGGCCTGCATGGAATGCGCTGCACAGTCACAGTCAAAGCCCGAAGAGAGGCCTTTCAGAGCCTTTTCTAAACACTCTTTGTGTAACTGCTGCCAGCACACTTGCAGGGTAACGTATACGTCATACATGATCATAACTTTTATGTAGTAGGGAGGCATTCACTATGCCATCTTGCGTCGTTCTTCGGAGAAGCGTGGTACCCAGTACAAACTTGCAAAGAATTTTGTGCAATTCTTTGACGTGGCTGGTGACAAAGAATTATGCCTGAAGCTTTTGCAAGCCTCTTCCATCGATTGCTCTACTTGCATACATAAGGCAACACAATTTCCGCACTCATTTGGAACATTAGCAGATGGTCGACATAGTTTGCTCTCTTATTAAATGTAGGGTTTCTCATAAGTATGTGCTGAACTGGAAAGGTTTAAACTAAAAGGAAGCAACACTGCCAAAAAATATCGGTTTCCCATTCATGGCAAGTTTTCACGGTACTGTAGCTAGGCTGTTTTTGCTGAGTGAGTACTTTTGTTCACTCAGAAACCGGCCGGAAAAGTTCTGAACTTCAGATAAACCTGGCTGGAGCTGTCATAGATTGGTGCCCTGACAAGTCTAAACGCCGAAACGTATTTCAGGTAAGTCTTTCTACCCTTAATGCCCACATGGCTCAGTTCATGCATGCAAAAGTTCAAGAGCTGCGCAAACGACGTAATTGTGGGTGCAAAGCGAATTCGAATATTAAAGTGTGAGTGAAAATCGAATGTGTTTTGAATATTTCTAAAATATTTTTCAAATACTTCAAAGTAGATTTGCACAAAGAAAGTTATAGGAGATTCCTAAGCTTATTCTTAAGAGATAGCAACATGAAAGCTTTTCTTTTGGCTAGGTTGATGAAGCATTGGTGGAGTTGTTTTTGTTTTACAGTTGTCTTATCAAGAATGAGGAAACACAAGGCCGAATTGTATTTATGTGCAAATCAGTGCAACCAAAGTGTGGCCAACAACACTTTATTCGTGAAAGGCAAAGATTCTGTTTCCTCAGCATCTCCTTCACTTTCAACTTCTGTGAATTCAGTATGCTCCTTTCGAGTCTGGAGTTCCAAATCTTTCTTCGTAGACGTCAATATATTTGAACGTCTAAACTTTTGGATGCTAAAAAATTTTTGGAATTCAATTTTCAGTCTTCCGGTCAAAATTTTTGGTTCAGAACAGCATTGAGCCCCACATCTGCTATATCTATCATCTTCATGTTCTAAGCAGCATTTATTCGAATCAATACATTTCGCGATCACAGTGGAGCTTAAAAGGTAGCTTTGTTGCACTACAAGAATGTGATGGGTTGAAGTGTAATGAAAATTTGAATGGGTCATCATTAAATAGACGTCTGTATTTCTAGTTATATAGTAAAATTATACTGCAAATTGAATTGGATAGCAAACACTACTAAACAAATAATTGAAATTTCGAGTATTTGTGCACTCCTAATAATTTTCTATTAGAACAGCATCACGAACTAGCAGACATGGACATATGCTTAGGTAAGCACCATACAGGCATCATAGCAGCTGTTTTTTCAGCTGCAACATGGCCTACATCTGTAATTTACGATCATTGACAAGAATTATTGTGTACTGTTTCTGCTGAATTTCTTTAATGAATGGATTTGCAGTGTATAATAAAGCCAGCTTGTGTGTTCGATTTGATTGTTTCAGCTGGGTGTCTAAGTAAGTATAACTTGAACAGCACGTTCATTTGGAATATAAATGGTCTCCCAGCATTTTGCAATGACTTTCAAGCATAATGGGACATTTTTGAAGACCTCCAAGAACTAACTGCACTTTGAGTGTTTTCACGACTCATTTGGTTAATGCAGTGCTTGTGCCAAGTTGGAGCTTTCTGTTAGGCATGTGTTATAGTGGGCTGTTGTTTACCTTGTCATATACTGCCACTTTCTGTGCACTTGATGGCACATTGAACATGTTTCTATCTTGTTTTTTGTCTGTATTTTAGCTAAGTACTACAGCTGGACAAAAGGTACTCCTTCAAGATGACAATGTCCAAACAAGCAAGGAATGGTTTGATACCATCAGTGCAGCTATCAAGAGATTGGTATGGGAGAGACATTTTTTTATGTTAGTGTTTAGGTTCAATGTGTATTGCTCCAACACACTATGAAACAGTTCTTGGTTGCTGTAATTAAGCGGAGCCAAGATTATGAGCATAAAAGGCATAGTTTCCACAGCGCCCTATTTCCTATGGCATGAGTTCACACCAAAAAAAAATTCTGCAGAACCTACACACTGTGGCAATCGTTGCAATGTGAAGCAATCAGTAAAGAGATGCATATATCGCCTTGTTTGTCTTTGAGGCAAATGCAGTCATTCATCTCATGACATATAATTCGCTATACATCTCTTGTTTATCAGGCATGTAAAATCTGGTAATACCAGTTTTGTTTTATATTGCGACAAGCATATTGGCTTGTGTTGTGCGATATCGTTGCTGGCAGAATCGTATGAGCTGCTAAGGAGAAAGATGATGAAGACTAGCACGCAAAAGAATATGATAACTTTGCTTTGCCAGTGATCGGACCAGTCCGACATTCTGCCGGCCTTCACATACAGGTTTCTGCTGCATTATAACGTAACAATGTCAAGCTAGCTAACCAGCCGCGAGAGCAACATGATCATGGCATGTACGTCACGGTATACTTGACATTCATGTCATGATTTTCGCGTTACTACCTGTCGTTTATGTTAGTCGTACAGAAATGTCTCGTCATACTAATGATGGTATAGTATGTCTATTTATAAACAACAATGAGTGCCCCGAAACTATGTCATGTAAATGATTCCATGCATGATATGCATCATATTTTGCATACTTCATGATTTGCACGTCAGGGCCATGTTATGTTCGTCATACACTCTTGTCATGTCTTACCAATTTTGATATACTATACCAAGTAAACTTAACTATCGCAAAAGCACCAAGGCCATGGAATGTAAGTCATGCCATTCATGACATGTGTGTCGGGATTTTTATGTTATATGACCTGTCATTTATGTTTTTTATACACTTGTGTTTTGTCATGCCAATTTCTGCAAATATCCCATCGAAGATGCAGCAAGGTCGTAGGCAGCTAGCTAGATAGCTACCGTATTTTTAGGTGTATAAGTCGGGGTTTTTTTCTGAATTTTTCGTGGGTGTGTCTTATACAACGATGCGACTTATATACATTCAAAATCGAGTTGGATGCCACGGCTTGGGTGGCGCTGTTTACGTCAAGCGGGCATCAAAATGGCGTCTATGGCGCTTCGACGCCTTCTGCCATGCACAGAAACCACATTTAAAAAGAAAGTAAGATTAACGGTAAGTTAACACCCTAAAGATAACGCAGCTATGTAGTTTTGCACAAAAAAATAATCAGAGGGGTGAAAATGTGGAGGTATTTTTTAAATTATAAATTATGGAAAGCAAGTTTGGATTTCAGAGCCACTTCCTTTACCGTCACTTCCGTCCGCCTTAACGTCTTCATTGCACTCGCTGTGTCGCTGTTGCTGCGCGCGTCTCATGTGTTGTGTTGTGCGTCGTAGCATAGAGCCGGTAGCGCCGTAGAACCTCGCGAACCATGGCGCCGCTTGGAAAGCAAAGTCGGCGAAGCTATGACGCCAAGTTCAAGCTGCGCGCTGTTGAATTTGCCGAAAACCACGGGAACAGAGAAGCAGGGAGGCAATTCGACGTCAGTGAAAAAATAATCCGTGACTGGCGCAAGGCCCACAGCGTCCTCCGGACGATGAAGTCGACAAAGAAGGCCAACCGCGGCAAGAAGGCGCGCTGGCCGGACCTCGAGCGTAGCCTGCGCACGTGGGTACTGCAACAACGAGCCGAAGGAAGAGGGCTGTCAACAGTGCAGCTGCGCCTGAAGGCGAAGGCTCTGGCAGCGTAGAGCAATGTTACGGGATTCAAAGGTAGTCCGTCGTGGTGTTTCCGCTTTATGCGACGGAATCAGCTGGTTATGAGAGCCCGGACGACAGTGTGCCAGAAGCTGCCCGACGACTTTCAGGCGCAACTGGACAACTTCAGCTCATTCGTGAGGGAGGAAGTTGCGAAGAAGAATGTCAGCGCGAGCCACATCGTTAACATGGATGAAGTGCCGCTGACATTCGACATCCCGCTTGGGAGAAGCATCGCCGAAAAAGGCCAGAAAACTGTCACGGTGAGGACAACAGGCCACGAGAAGTCCCACTTCACCGTTGTGCTCGCCTGCTGCGCGGACGGCACAAAGCTGCCTCCCATGCTAATATTTAAGCGGAAAACCTTGCCGAAGGATAATTTCCCTCCTACAGTGGTGATTCAGGCGAACACAAAAGGTTGAATGGACGAGGGAATGATGAGTGTGTGGCTTGACCGCTGTTTTTCCCGTCGACCAGACGGATTCTTCCACGTGAAGCCAGGAATGCTGGTAATGGACAGTATGCGGGCACATATCACCGATATTGTCAAGAAAAAGATCAGTTCAAAGAACTGTATGCCAGTGATTATTCCCGGTGGCATGACGAAGATGCTTCAGCCGCTTGACATTTCTGTCAACCGCAGCTTCAAGGCAGTTCTGCGACGTTCGTGGGAAACGTGGATGTCGGAGGGAGAACACAGCTTCACAAAAACGGGGCGCATGAGACGCACAGAGCTCGGCGAAGTGGCGAAATGGGTGAGTGACGCTTGGGAGTCAATTTCTGCGAAGACCATTGTGGCGGGCTTTCGCAAGGCCGGTTTGATTTCCTGCGCGGCCGATGGCGACGTTGAAGAGTCCGATTCGAGCGAGTCGGAGGACGACAGTGATGTGCCAGCAGTACTGCAACCAGAAGTAGCTGCATTGTTCGTGAGCGACTCGGAGGAAGACGACTTCGATGGCTTTGAATAAACGTCACCAAGCTATCGGAATAATAAAGGTACTTCTGAAAGTATTGTTTTTATGTGTGTTTAAAAGCGCTCGCACGCGTGACTGCCGATAGCTAGAAACGTGCAAAAGCGTTGGCCGTCGCAAGCATGCATTTTTGCAATGCATTGTAACGACGAGATACTTAAATGTCGGTGGTCGGATGAGCAAGTGCGTCTTCTACAAAGGTGCGACTTATGCACCGGTGCGACTTATATACGTTTTTTTTTTTTCAGAAAAACTGCTATTTTGAGGGGAGTGCGACTTATACAAGGGTGCGACTTATAAACCGGAAAATACGGTAGTCAGACAGACAGACGTCCGTCCATCTGTCCGTCCAAGCTTGATTTAACTGTAGGTGACAGACATACAGGTGCACACACTCAACAGGTTGCCAAAAGAAATGATTCGCACTTAAAATGAAGTTTGGTAGCTATTTGGGGCTTCCAGACTGTGAAGTGCAAGGTGCAGCCAAGCCACCTCACGTGCATTCCAGGGTATTGGAAAGTGGCTTCAAAGTTGAACTTGTGATTTATTGATGCTCTCCTTCATTCTGCTAGCTTCACAGTTGTGGTCGCTTTGCACAAAAAAATTTAAACATCAGTTTATTTTCATACCACCCTACCAGCATGATAAATTTATCTGTAGGTTACATTAGGGTGGTCAGTGGCTGTGGCACTCTGGAATCGGGCAGACGGATAAAATGAGCTGGCTGGCCGGCTACTACCGCTTTATCAATTTGTTATGTTTTCAGTGTGCAGTGAAGAGCTCTAGGGTATCTATAAATAGCAGCTGCTAGTGTAGATTTAGGATGCTTATACAAGTCTCACAATTCTGTACTGCAGTCAGTGAGCACTAATTTTCACTCAACGTTGTGAGGGATGGACGTTGCAAGCTGCATTGCATTATTGCATGGACAACTTGTGTTGCTTCACTTGTCCTTCACTGAAATACTGTGTGGCGATGGACAGCTACGTGCTGCAAATGCGAACGCTAGTAGACACCTCTCCCCCCCCCCTTTTTTTTTGTCGTGAGATATGTCTGTGCGTGAAAGTTCATATGGCTTTCAATCCATTGAATATAAAGTTGCATCAGGGTAGGTGTGGACAAATAAACTGAATGCCTGTATTTCACACAAGCTTTTCAGTGCACACGCACGCACGTGCACACAGAGAGAGAGAGAAAAAAGAAAAATATATCCAGTGCCAATACAGCTTGTTATCCATTTTCTGCACTTCTGAATTTCAGTACCTTTATGGTTCAATAAGGTTGAGAGCTGGGCTAGACGAGGAGTGATCGCACTGTATCAGTGAAGTAGCACACCTCGACAAGGACAAAAAGACAAGGGCGTAGTGAGTGTCACATCTGTCCTGTTCCTTTTGTCCTTGTTGAAGGGCACTACTTCACATGTACAGTATGATGATCAAGTATTCCTGTGATGCGTTACTTATATAAAGTTTTGTAGGAGGCAGTTACCATATTTCTTTAGTTAAGGATGATAGATTACCCCACCATGCATCCAATCCTGTTTAGGGAGCCCAGACATATGCATGTGTGCCTTTTTCCTTTACAGCCCAATGGCTTGGGCCTTGTTATGGGCTGGCAGCCAGAACCACCTCCCGCTCCCCCACCTCCTCCCGAGGAAACCGCACCTCCACCTTCGTCCAGTTTCGCATCGCGGCGAAGCAAGAAGACTAGCCGAACCAAGTCCATTCGCCAGCCGGCATCTCCACCTGCCCCGACTTTTGATGCTGCGCAGATGCAGCAGCAACATCAGCAACAACAGTCCCAAGCTTCTGGAGTGGTAGACTCATGTGGAAGCCAGAGCCCGCAGGAACGGAAGAACCGGATCCGGAACAAGCTACGACAATTTTTTGTCCGCAGGCCAACGCTAGAAAGCCTCCAGGAGAAAGGAATCTTTAAGGTTCGTCTGGGATCTACAAAGTGTGCTCTTGTTATTTATGTATTACTGCTCACCGTACTTTCATGACTGTTTTGGCTGTCTATGTTTGTTAAGGGGGCAGACTGGTCTTAGACATTTTTTTGTTTATTCAGTGATCTTGATCAAACTGCACAGGATTATCCAGCTTTTTTTGCTGATTTCAAATATTTAATTAGTTTTTCTATAACTCATCTTGTTCCTGCAATAACTTAAGTTCACCCCCTATTGTTTAAGGCCACCATAGAAAAGAAAGTGCTTAATTAAAAGTGATATTTAAGATATGCCAACATGGGGGACTAATGACTATAGATGCAAGAGGTTTTTTTTTGTTTTGTTTTAGTCCTTTCTTGGTTATTTTACAGCAAAAGTTAACTATACATTTTCAAAATCAGTTAGAATTGTGTTACAATTTTGATGAGTAATTAATTAAAAAGACATGCTATGAATTCTGCTCCCATATTTGCATTCTACACACATGCAGGTTTCCATTGCAAAAAGAATTATTGCTGTACCTGCCCTAGCTGCAGAGATATTTAGGCCTCAAAATCGAACAGTCGTAAATATACTTTTTTGAGAAAAATGGAAAAAACTGAAAACACACAGCTTCTTCAAAAAGCAACAATCATGGTGCGCATGTTTTGCAATCCTCGTAAAGGGGCTCACAAATTCGTAGCAGAGCTTCTAACACAGGTTCTGGCAAGTTATAAAGAAGCCTCGATGTCGGTTCCCCATATTTTGCAGGTTCTCTATATTTAACAGCACCAATAATGTGGACAGTTAGAATGACATCACAAAAAAATTACCACTTCCTGATGTGTGAAAATTTACAGAGAGATAGAAAAATACTTGCAGAAACCAAATATGTCAATCTTAAAAAAGGATTTTTTTTTGTCACTTTTTAGTCCCAAATCTGCCCAGTCTGCCCCCTTAAAGGTGAACTACATCAAAATCTTGCTTTAACTAAATTAGTTTAGTGAAACATTAGTGTATGCCACTGAAGTGGTCTTGGCAAAGCTGCGGTGCTGGTAATGGCATGGTTTTTATATTAGCAGTCTTTAAACAGTGCCTAAGCAGAGGACTGCTGCACATTTAATATCAATGATTCCAGCTCCGGCACTTCCCAGGACGATTTCAGTGTCATTTCACGAAACACCATATGATTGCCGAGTGTTATCATTTATGTATGAGAAGCATGCGCAGTTTGTCTTTGAAAATATCTACGGATAGTCCTTTCATGGTTGTGAGCAGTCTTAGCTGCTCAACAGCGCCAGTTTGTCTGCTGTTTCCTGTGTGTTTCATTTATCAGGGCCTTCAACTTCTTCTTTTTTGCAACAGGACGAGCCCGTGTTTGGTTGCACACTGGCACACTTGTGTGAAAAGGACCGATCAAGCGTACCTCGGTTTGTTCAGGAATGCATCCTCGAGATTGAGAGGAGAGGTGTGTAGCACGATTACTGCTGTTACTGAATCATGTTCAAGGAGTGCTGTTACTGTTCAAGGAGTGTCTTCGAAGAAGTCTGAAGTATGGTAGCCTGGGCAGTATAGTCTACCTTTGAAAGAACATCCAGCTGGTAATGAAGCGTGTGATGATTGCAGTTGTCTTCAACTTTGTTGGTAAACAGTGGCTGATGTAATGTATCGACAAATGTGTTTGTGTCTCACCTGGATTTTTACTGGTAGGTGGGCCATACTGCAAATCTGTAAACGCTGGTACACTGTTTCTTGCCATCAGAAACTCTTGTTTTATAACCACACTACTTTTAATCTGCTTGTTTATTCACACACGCACAGTCAGTGACAAAAGCTTGCCGATCGGGCTATTTGAGTAAACATTGAAATTTCCGGGAACTTAGTGACCCTATTTAGTAAGGCCCTATCTAGTAAAGCTGTGTAACACATTATTTGCATGAGTTGGCTCTCACTGTAAACCTGAATACCAGGCTTCATAATTATTGTTTATCATTCTACCCTTGCTTTCGTTAACTGTAGACACCAACTGTGCATTTCTTGGCATTGTGATGGATTGTCCCAGCCATGAAGGCTACATTCCAGTACAACAGGCATTTAAAAATTGCAGCATGCTTATAAATAGTGTGTTGGACAGCAATGCTCAATAAGATTAATGTTATGAAATATAGTGTAAAAATTATCTATTTAATTTTGTGCCATTATATTGATTACAAAATTATAGCTGTGCAAATAGCAATATTATGTGTGCAAAGTGAATTTTAATATTGAAGTTTCAGTGTAAATTGAATGTTGATGCTTTAAAATAGTTTTCTGGTTATCTGTTTAAAATTTTTTCAACACTCTTAAGTGGAAAAACGGGAAAAAAACGTTGCAGAGGATTCTTGAGCACATTCTTATGAGATAGGAATATGCAAGTGTTCCTTTTGTCTAGGTTGGGGGAGTGCTGGAGGATGGTGTTTCGTAGTTCTTTTATCAAGGATGAGGTAATGCAGAGATCAAATTGTATTTTCACGGTTTGGTACAACCAGTGTGTTGTTACAACACATTACACGTGAAAGGAAAAGACACTATCTTTTTTATTACCGTTCCCCTCCTTCAGCTTCTGTAGAGACCCACTGATTTGGCAGACAAGGGCACACTCCTTTTCAATTCGGAATTCATAATCTGTGTCAGAGATGGCGACATATAAGAGAATCTGTAATTTTGGGCTCTATAGACGATTTTTCGGACATTCTACCCAAATTTCAGTTACAAAACGGCTTTGATTGAACCTCCTGCTCTGCCGCGTCTATGATCTTCATGTTGAAACCAGCATATTTTTGAGTCAATAAATTTGCAACCGTAGCATAGTCTGACCGTAGCACGTCACTTCGTCGCAATGTGAGGGTGTTATGGGGTGATGCATATAAAAAAAAATAACTGAAGAGCTTGTTGCCAATTAAAAAATTACTGTGTTTTTAGGAAGTTCGAATACTTCAAATAGTAAAATTTTGGTGCTAATCCAATTAAATAGCAAACTCTATTTGAATATTTAAAGTTTGATTATTTACACGTTCCTATATAAAACAAAGAAATTATAGTCAAATTTGAACTTTCCTTAAATTTCACAGCAAAACCTTAGCGCACATGCCAAAGTGTGACTGGAATTTCAAAGTAATTTTGCATATTTGGCCATTTGGTACAATATAAGTGATTCAAACATTTTGAATGCTGTGTAGTCTGTATTTAGCACTTAATAATTAACTGGGACTAACCTAGCACTGTAAAAACTTATTTATTCACTGTTCGACTCCGTACAGGCACTTCAAATGTCGTCACCAGTCCTTTCGCCTTGTGCCATTTCCGCCTTAAAAAACTTTTCACGGTATTATAAAGGGGCAATTTACAAATAACACCTTCAGTATCTTTCTATGTAATGTGCCTTTGTGAACTCTAGACTACAAATCAAACACACGTTTGAAATTTTTATGGCACACTTTGTCGACAAACTGTAACTGTGGCTTTTTTAGGCCTACTCTACTGCTGCCAGCATTTCTAATTCCTAATGAGTGAGTGTAACAACGAGTGTAACAATCATAACAGTGAGTGCTGCTATGATGCCACAGTATAGTTCAGTATTTCTTACATGTTCTTTCTGTGGGCACGAATATGTCACGTTTGCGAGCTTTCAGAACAATGAACATCTGCGCTTCACTCGTTCCAGACATGACGGCTGATGGTCTCTATCGTGCCAGTGGCAACCTCTCACAAGTGCAGAAGGTCCGGTGCCATGTCAATCAAGGTATTGCTCTGCACCTTCCTTTATTTTCTTTACATCGCATTGTGCGTGTAAGGTAGCTGTTTTAAAAAATACAAATTTTCTATTGCCATAGAGGGACTTGAGCACAGGATTTCATCGTAGGTCGAATTGATGGACCTTTCAAACTGTGCATGTGTAGCATCAAGCCCTAGTGAACTGTTGCGTTCTATGATAGTAGATTAGCAGTTCATGTTAATGGGATCTGAGTGACATGATAGCAAGGCGCTAAAGAAAACAACGTGTAACCATTGCAAAGCTTGTCTGTCAGAGAAGTTACACAACCATGGTACTCCTGTGCACCAAGATGCGGTGCTTGTGACGTGGTTGGAAATGTGGAATTTTCCCAACCTGCTCTAACAACGGGACAAATATGCCAGCCATCACAAAGGCATATCCTTGAAAGAACAGTGAGCTGACAGCTCAAGTGGTTTGTCAGAGCCATAAACCACAGTGGGGAAAAACAACTCCAGGCAGCACAAATGCCACTATCACTAGTTGTAGCTCAATGTTACAACAGGTGTGTTTTCGAGTCAAGAAGGCAGTATGGGTACACGGTGGCACTGTGTTCACCGACGGTCGTGCGAAGCAACAACTGATGTCTAAGATCGTGCTTTGTCACGTGCAGATGACTACAGTGTCTTAGCGCAAGAAGAAGACATCCATGTGCTGACTGGAGCTCTGAAGATGTTCTTCCGGCATATGAAAGAACCCCTCTTCCCTTACAACCTGTTCACCAAGTTCCTCAAGGCAATTGGTGAGTCTTGAAGTTCATTCATCATTGTCATTACAGTAGAATCTGAGTGATACGGTTATGGTTGATACGAATTTCGTGATGATACGAATTTTAAGGTTGCTTCAGATGGACTACATTACATAAAACACACCGTGATTCGGTGTTATACAAACGGTTTCCCCAGGAACCGCAGATAATACAAACGCGCAATTGACCGCTCATGTGAGCAGCACAACGCGGCTTGTCTGTGGGAGAAAGGCCCGTTCGCACTTGGCCTCGAGGGGAGCGAATGCGGCATAATATACCGCAATTTTCCTCGCTTCGGCGCCGGAAAAGTGGCCGGAAAACCATGCCTCAAGGCCGACGCGAAAAAAAAAATGGTCGGAGACCAATTTTGCCACCACGCAATAGCGGATCGCCTCGCCTCTCCACCATAGCTATAGCTATACCGGCTGCACTATCTCTCAAATCACTGTGATGTAAACAACCAGCTGTAAATACAACATGGCGACAAAGGCGCCAGTGATGGCTCGAGTCAGCCCAATCGCGATCTACACTCGCAGTACGACAAAGCTCATGGCCTAGAAAAAGACACGCTCATTGAGAGCCTGGTTTGAATTACGATCGCTGTGACTGCGAACACCGGAAGTAGTAGAAGGTGCAGCAGCAGCAAGTCGGCATGCCGTAATACCGTATTTACTCGCATAATCCTCGCACTTTTTTTTTGCTGGAAAACTGATGCAAAGTTGGGGGGTGCGAGAATTACGTGGGGAAAACTTTCCACAAATCGTGCAGAGCGAAAAAGAAAATGAAGTGGCCGCAAATCGGGATTCTCACACCAGCAACTTACAGCAAGCTTTAATGAGTACTAATTACTAGTAGAACTTACCTCAACAATAAAAGCAGTGGTTCAACACAAGGCAAGATTTATTTGAGACACAAAAAGTGGAAGCAAATAGTCGAGAATTAGAATACCATACGCAAAGCTTGTGGGCATTGCGGGCGTAGCAGTAGCGTTCGTCGCTTAACAGGAGCCCTCAAAAAGTAAGCGTAAGATGTCAGTATTGGGCTGATGGCGATAAAACAGAATCATCCGCAATTTCCTTCTGAAGAAATAAAGTTTACCATCAATGCCAGTTTAGGCACACGGCAGGCCCAACGCGTCTTGGTGGCTTTCAGCGGCCGTCACAAGTAGCGAACACAAACTCGTCGACTCCGAAGGGCCTACCGGCGGCCCTGTTGCCGTCGTTTAGCACATGATCTATCACTTGCAACTTGAAGCATCCGTGTAGCTTCAGTACCGCCCCATAACGTGCCAAGATTACCGACACAGCATACAAAACATGCCGCAACGCGCCCTGGCCACGTCGGCTTGGCTTGAATCTGCGTGCAATAGTACGCTTGATGCTGAAGAGATGGCGTGCGCTATCATCAGTGGCTGGAATGAGCAGACGACATTATTGCACCGGTTTTCGGGGGTGCGATGATTACTCAAGGAAAAAAAGACCTCGTATTTTTCTTGGGAGATGTGGAAGGTGCAAGAATTATGCGAGTGCAAGGATTACGCGAGTAAATACGTTATCTCTCGCTTTTGTACGGCCGGCTGAATTCGTCACCGTCACTGCCAGTGCATCCGCTCCTGTCGTTTCTTCTGACGTCGTATCTCTCGCAACAAGGTTCATAAAGGTGTAAACTGTTTCTTTTCAGTGCTTTGCGTGCATAACTAGGACTCGGTATGAATTTGAATGCTTAGGAATAAATTTTCAAGCAGTGGTGGCAGAATCAATGTGAATATTTTCTATGGGTGCGGACGTGGTTTTGCGGCCAGTTCAGGCCTTTTCACTTAAATTTTCGTGTGTGAATTCTCAAAGGACTGATTTTTTTTGTGTGTATCAACTTCGCGGCGTGTTTTTACGGCTGCTTAAGCGGTGATGTGAGTGAATTTTCAATAAGTTTTGCTGCTTTAACTCCCTTTGATGCCAACTGTGAACGTGCTTTATAGCGCTAGCAGCATGAGTGAGGAAAAGGCGGCACTTTATTGACAGGGGGTGAAAGCAGGAAAGTTCAATAGAAGGTCATGGACTTTTTTCAGCAAGTAGTTGACCCCAATAAAGTTCTTGTTCATCTTCATGATCAGCTTGAACTTGTTTTTGGTTCATACGAATTCAGGATGATACGAACATTTTGCATGCTCCCTTTGAATTCGTATCATTGAGATTCTACTGTAATCCTTTCGCTGTCACTGACTAGTCCGCATGTTCTGCCTTGTGCATTCAAAAACTCGTGCCGAAGCGAATGGCTGGCGGGATTTCGCATGATTGTACTGGTGGCGCCATGTGCCTAATTTTTCTAGAAGCATTTATTTTCATTAATGCTAGTACGTGTATTGAAGAGTATGGATCGACTGCGCCCACCTGTCTTTGCTGTGACACATGGGCATTGTGTTTACTAGGGTTGTGCTGCCATCTGCCGCAGCTTTGCAGGCTCGTAAGTTAATTTTTTATTCTATCGACGTGTCTGTTAGGGCATGTCTAGTTCAGAGATGTGCACCTTAGCCTCTCCATTAGACCAAAACATCACTTGATAGCTACTTTTGCTTGCTCGTTTGGTCCTGGCTTGTTGCTAACAGCAGCAAATGAAGTTGTTGTATTCTCTTTTTATTCCTATCTGTCAACCTGACTTCATGATTTGCCATTTATCTGTTTAAAACTTCCCTGATATTCCCTAAAGCAAGCCAACACTGGGAGTGCATCTCAGTCAAAAACACCTGACAGTGAAATGGTTGAAGCAGTGATATTAGTGCATTTGTATATATTAATGGCCCACAGTTTGATTTGTGCAAGCTTTATTAAATGCAAAGTATTTCTTAGCGAACTTTGGCGACATTGAGCTTATGTATCTATCTAGCCACTTACGTTTTGGTGCTCTCGTGGTCAACCCCTTAACTTTGCGTGAACTAAAATTAACATGGGAGGGTAAGATGGTTTGACGAATATGAAGCGCTGGTCAAGACATGAATAATATCACAATCTCATCGCGTACGTTATCAAACACTTCTCGCCAGACAGTGGCACATACCCTTAATATTTACACCCATGAACGACTAAAACACACTTGGGCAATTTTAACGTGCAAGCGTTAAGAAATACTTGACATCGGTAGCATCGACCTGACGAATGCAAAGAATAAATGTCAGGGTCCCAGCTGGAATTGAACCCAAGCGTTCTGCGTGGCAATGAAGAATTTTACCACAGAGCTACGCCAGATCTCGAAACTACTCTTTAAATAGACCCTATCTTTGTGAAATGCCAAGAGTGGTAGCAGTGTTGCCTACTTAATTTTATAAGCATTACATATTGTGGGAATTGAGGCTAGCCCACTGCCTTTGCGCGGGCTTTGCCGCCTTTTCTGCCGTTCTCATGTCCCGACATGTCTGCCCTCCTTTGCTGTCTGCCGCGCTGGGAGAGCGGAGTGACGTTTAACCCCCTCACCCGGTAGCGGATGTTGACTGTGGCGCCGCGCGCGGGGTCTCCCGAGAGGTTTTCGCGCGCTATGTCGGGAGCGGAGAGATACTCTCCGGGACTGCAAACGGTGAGCCACGCAATCTTTTCCATCCGTCGACTCCCATAGCTCGGGGCTCGTCGGACTTCGCTGATGGCGCCTCACGCCCGAGGCGAACGCTCACCTTATGTTGCCCCACTGCGTACGCATGGCCGAAGGGTGGTGCGGTGTCCTAGTGCGTGGCCTAGCTACGCCGACCCCTCTCCCTCCGAAGCCAACACGAGCGCCTTTGCCCTCGCTCGAGCAACCGGGCCTTGGTCCCGGTGTCTCCGTGGATCACCTTTACCGCGGAGACGTGCTCGTGGCACCCTGTGTAGTACTTTTATGCCCGTGGCGTGGATAAGCCTATTTGCTCTCCCACCGCGCCTTTGCAACGGGCTGTACTGCGATTGGTCTTGCCACAATAAAGTGTTGTGACTTTGAGCAGCATCGTGTTCTTGCCACGGCGACGGTTAACGCATGCCCTGCGGCTCGCTAAGACCGGACCCACGCTGGTGGCCGTACTCCTTCGGGATACGTGTACACCACAATATGTACTTTTTTGATAGAGCCGTCACGTCGGGTTAATGTCAATTGTAGTTAGTTGCCATGCACTGTTGTTGTTGATTTATGTAGCAGCGTCCAGGGCCAGCATCTTCGCGAGCATCAGCACTTCATATCAGCTTATGGTGTTGCTAATACGCATGTTCCAGTTGACATCGTTGCGCAACTGCAAACAACTGGTTATATAAACATCTGCAACTCTTCCAAGATATTTCTGTGCATGCAACATTTGTCTATATATTTAGCCTTATTTCATGACGTGTCACTCAATAAAAAAATTGCAACGCAGTCACCTTCCCTCTGCATGCTTCATATAATGTTAGGTTCCCAGGTACGTGGGATCTGCCAAATTTTTTTCGCTATTTTGTCCTCAAATCGGAAGAAAGTGCTTGAAGAAAAAAATTGGGGCTGATCATTCAGTGTAACACACAAAAAATAAGAAAGTGTTTCCTTGAAAGAACACTTGGCATAATACATCTGGCATTGCGACCATATGACTACTATGCTTGTTTAATAAATAAGAATGATATGGCTGAAAATAGAATCATGCTCATTTATGTAAGGAGCCTGCTAGGTTCAATTTGAGGCTTTTTTTTTTTTTGCTTCAGGTCAGCCCACAAGAACGACCAAAATGGCCATGTTTCGAGATCTCCTGTCTGAGTTGCCAAGACCAAACTATGACACACTCAAGTACCTGCTTAGGCATCTTCTGAGGTAAGAGCTTTTTGGCAGGCCAGATTTGCCTGTGCCATTATGGCCCTATATATATTTATAACTCACTGGCTAAACCAGCAAAAGTGCACGCTAGTAGACGAACTTGTCTGTGCCAGTATTTAATTCATCAGCATTATTTTCATATCAGTTTCACATAGGCAGTTTTGATTGCTGTCGAGGTCGATCGAGATTAGGTTCAATTCAGATGAGGACACTGCTGCATGGCTGCATTCAGGTGCAATCAGGTCCAATGGGCACGAAGACAAACACAATCTGCACATATGCTATCCGGCTCCTATATCACAATTAGGCTTACGTTAGTGCCATACTCACTCTGCGTATCAGTTTGGACCATGCAGCAGTGTCCGATACGGTTTGGCCCCGTATTGCCACCAAAGGTGCCCAGGTGACACTAGTATTAGTTTTCATCCGCTTAACAGGGCAGGCAATAGTTATGATAAGGCATAATCTTTTACAGCAAGCCACTACTGGAGTCACTTTTCGTCAGACGTGCAAATTTAGCCTGTTTTACTGTTTTTTCTCTTGCTTATTGTACAATTAAGACAAAATCTTATTGATAAGCTCAACTCAGGGAACCCGCTTTTAGTCCTTTCAATAGTTTTCTATTACGGGTGTACTATATTCATGCTCTTTCTTTTCTGGAGGAAGTTAAAAAGTTCCACTAATCATTGTTACGGTGAACATTTTTTATTTTCTCACACCTTTCATGTTGGCTTTGTGGTGCAGGGTGACTGAGCACAGCGACAAAAATCGCATGCATATCCAAAACCTGGCCATCGTGTTTGGGCCAACACTACTGTCATCGGGCGAGGAGCCCCGAAACCTGGCACTGGACATGATGCAACAAAACCAGGTCATCGAGTTCCTCCTGCTCGAGTTCAACTTCCTGTTCCCCTGAACACCATTTTTTCTTCAACCTCCCAAAGAGCAGGGAAATGGACCCCTGCAGTTTTCAGTTCCTACTATTACAGTGGCACTGCTATACTGTCACCATGACACACAGAACACCCACAAAAAGGTTGTCCAGAATTTCTCTCGCACCATGCAAGTGAAAAGAAGAGTGCTGCATCTTTGTTATGCGCTACGCTGTCTCCTGCCTCATTTATTTCTGGCCAGTCCTCTTTCATGAATGGCGTCTCCTGCTTTGATGCAAGACAACAAAACAGTTCTGCGCTCATCCAAAAGGTCGCTCTGCCAAAACACAGCTCTAAGAAGTTGCAGACATTGTGCTCGTGCTGTGCCCGATAAATAGGGACGTCGGTTCACTCCTGCACTTGCCACCAGATGGTGTGACTCTTGAGTCATAGCTTCAGGACTGTGCTTTGGCCAGCCCACAATCACGCCCATCGTTCATCTACCATTACAGCCACGGTGTTGCTATCCCGGCCTCGCTTGCCACCGTGTTTTGCCATGAAACTGGTCTAGTAGACAGCAGTGTCTGAAATGATTATGTAGGCTCAAGCCTGAATTTTCTAGGCGTTCATTTAAGCTCGAGTAGATCAAGTGTTATCATTCCAAGTGCCCAAACTCACCTGTAGTAATTCCTAAGAGTATCTGTCCTCTTTTTATTGTTATCATTGTTTTTATCTTGATGATGTGTAGCCACAGCAGTGATCGAGTGAGAGTGGCAGCTCTTGCTGCCCAGCTTGAATGAAAATCTTCGGTCTGAAAACATGATTATAATGCTACAGTCGATTTGCCCGCATGAAGAATACACTGCCCATGTAAAGGTAACCAGGAGAAGATGAGCCGAAAGCAGTGGCTAGTGTGCCTAGAGAAGCGTTTAATATGCAAGTTAAAGACATCTATTATATAGCAGCCCATATTTAGGTATTTAGCAAAGAAGTTGTGTGTAGTTTCATCCATGCCTATGCCCTAATGATATAAGAAATATGTCACTTGACATACACAATCATGTTGAGCCAGCCATCGTGTTAGCAACTGCACTTACTGTGTACAGAAACTCATGTTCATTTTTCCTAGGGAACCTTGTGGGCTATTTGCTTTAGTTCAATAAGCAAATTGTGGCAAGCATTTTGTGCATAGCCTTGAGGCAGTGCATTATGTTGCATTCAACTGTTAAAACGTTGTTTCTATGCATGTATTCACCCATGTTGTTGTTTGTGATTTATTAGCAGTGTTGGGTTGTGGTCAGCTGTGCACTTAGAAGTAGCAATGTGACTAGAATTTCAAGTTTATGTTCCACTTTCCCACAAATTGTAGCCTTCCTGCTTAATGAAAAAGCTGATTTTCCTAATCATACTGTCCAAAAGAGCCAGGAAGTTGTATCTGCAGTGTAGTGGCAATAACCTAAAGCAAGTCACAGTACACTGTACAAAGTGGAGGACACTCTCTCTTTTTAAGGTATTCTTCCTTTTTCGTTAGAGGTACAAATGTCTCGTGCTCGCGTTGCAGCGCTTGTAATTTATCGTCCCTCAGTTGTGAACACACGAGTACCATGAACATTGCAAGGTGCTGGTCGGCATGAACCTAGCTGTGTTGTCCTTTTAGTTCTGTCTCGTGAAGGAGATTGTTGTTTGTCAATGTGTGACACCACATAATCGGCAATTTTGGTGCACTTTTCAGCATCTGCTAACAAGGAACTGGCATTCTTGTTAAAAAGTATTTGTAGTTTAGTTTGATAGTTGTTGCTTCGAGGGAATGTTGAAAATTGCGTGTGTAACATCATTGTTAATGAGGCATTCAGATGTGGTTGCTAATCCTGTGATATTTTTATGACAGTATTACAGCCCATTGAAAAAGGCAAAGCGGTGCTGCCTCTCTTGTGCACATACAATTTGGGCTTTAACGAAAGCATGCCATCGATTGTGAATAGAGGAGCATGTATCAGGTTTATTTATTGACATTCCTCACAGTATGCTCTGTGCCTTAAGAGAAAAATCAATGATATGCAGTTTTTGAACATGTTTCAAGTTTGCCATTGTGTTGTTGAATTTAGAGAGCACTATAAATTAATAGCAAATAAAGTTGATTTTTTGAGTCACACATGAAGCTTGTGTTTTTATTATCCCTCTCACACCACTGTACTTCTGATGGCATTTGAAACAAAGAAAATGATTGAAATCTAGAAGCTGCGCTGATCGTCTCTTGCTCAAGCTCTGTTACCAATACACCGAAGGTTGTGATGTGGTAACAAAGCATTTCATTATCTAGTGCACTTGGGTCACCACGTCATGATGCTCACCAGTCATGATGCTCAGCTGCTCACTTGAAAGATGCGTGTTTGATCCCATCTGCAGTGGTCACATTTCCATGGCAATTAAGTGCTAGAGGTCTGTATACTCTATAATGTCGGTGCACATTAAGAACCCCAGGTGGTCGAAATCAACACCCTTTAATTACGATCTAAGCACTAGTAAAAATTACCTGGAACTTCCTTAGAGACTGTGGCGTCTGTCGGCCCAAGTAGCTTTAATATTTTGACTCCATAAGCCAACTTACCAAAGGTTGCCTTCACTGGTCATTGAATGGGCTTCTATGCTTGGTGTCAAAATAACTGCGTGTGCCATCTTGTTGTCTAACATTGGACTTATGGCATTCACTAACGTTCACAAGTGCACAGCTTAGTTTGGGCCCAGCCCTTCAGCTACGTCTGCCGCTCGGTCTACCATGACATGACACTACTATGCTGGCCTTTCTGTGGCTTGGAGGGACGTTCTCAAAGGCCTATTCATTTATGATTGAAATGGCTGACAGCCCATCATGTGAAGTGTGCGGGTGCAGTGAAACCTTCTCTGTGACTGCACCCGCTTCAACTGCAAAAGAGCAGCCCTCTCAACCAGACTAGCCAGCTGGACAACCGCCCCCTGAGAGACAACAAAATTCTGGGGCCCTGGCCTACCCAGTTTGCACCACGAGCCGTTGCGGTTCCTGCAAGCAAGCAGTTTCGTAGAGATATAAAATAAAGCACAAGCATAATTTAGCCGTGGTGCAAGAATATTCTTCCATCGTGAGTGCAACATTTGAAGACCCAGTGAAGTTTTGTAGGTACCCTGTCCCACGACTCCAGACCACCAGCACAAGGCCTAGGAGACCACTGTGGTGTTCTGGATAGAGTAGTGTTCTGCGTTCCTGTTCCCACTAAGTGTTCCAGGCCATGTAAAAATAAGTATTGCCCTGACCAAATGTCCAGATCTATGAGGACATGTCCAGAACAGCCACGAATCAGACATTGGTAAACTATGGACTGTAGCTAAAAACAAAAATGAACAATTTATGTACAATCACTGCGCAATGAAATGTCACAGCTTCCCGTCTTTGTTTCATACCAATGCTTCAGCGTCCACAAAGGATGTCATGGTCTCGCATGTTGGCTAGTATCATGAACCCATGCGTGGTCCACACCAGCATCCACACGCGGTTCACAAGTCACAGGAAAAAAAAAAATTGAAGGCAGATCCATGAGGTGAATAATGATGAGATTGGGCGAAGCTCCTGGAAGTACTTATCGGTTAAACCGTGATATTTCTTCTGTTAATACGCCTGATAAAATTGACGTGAAACAATTGATAAATAGTTATATCAAACTTTTATAGCTGGTTTTCGTTGCCCTTTCATTATGACCACTTTGCGGTCGGTAAAATGTAGGCTAAGTGGTTCTTGCACTGGTTGCAGATGAAAGTTGGCAAACACGATGTCGATGCAGGTGCCTCTGATGGTGGTTGAGTTGGGGTTTTCAAAGGAGATGCATTTGAGTCCGTACTTTTCTGACATGTGATGCATCAATTAATGTTTGTTGAAGTCTGTAATGTCAACGTTGAAGTCCCCGACGAGCATGAAAGGTTTTGACTTGTCGTATATACACGTCTCTGTTGATGATGTCTTCAATGGGAAAATTTGCTTCCAGGAACAGTATCACGACGGTGATGCCACCTAAGTCGATTGCAGCACTTTCTCCATCGTCGCTCTGTGTGCAGAGTGCTAGTTCCATATCTCGAGCTTCTTCGGCTCGCTTTACGTAAACTGCAACACCATTGGCAGGTCGTACCGAGTCATCGATGGATGCGACTGGTGCATAGCCCTTGGTGTAGAGGCGTTCGGCGTTCCAGGTCTGAGTAAAGCAGAGCATGTTGACTTCGGTTAAAATGGGGTCCCGTTCCACTTCTTGGTAGTGTGCATTGAGAAAACGGACGCTGAGGAGGGCAAACGTGAACTCGGCAGTGTGATCGACATCGTCTTGCAGGGCTTGACAATATCACTGTGCGACTGTAGGTAGCGGATGTTGGTCGAGCCGTTGGAATTCGTTTGCCATCGCTCTGTCCTCGTTGTTCGCCTTGAGGTAGGACTTGTTGTCTCCTTTTGCGTTCATGAGATAGAGGTTATTTATACTCGTGCACCTAGTGAGTGCGACGTAAACTTATTTCTGTGGGTGTGTCTTACTGTATTCGTAGACAATGGACGCGTAGGTGTCACCATGCGATTTATGTACAGTGATTGCACTAGCTTGCACTGTGGTTTCCATTGATACTTGTAGCCATTTGAAACGCTCATCAAAGGCACCTTGCCGCCCATCAGAGAATCTTTACAATTCGAGCAAACCTTGTAATCCTTGGCGGTTGTGGCGGGAAACGTGGCGATGGTATTATTGCGAGACTCCTCATTTTTCATGACCGCGCCCGACTTCTGGAACGCTTGTTTTACGTTCATTTTGTTAATTAAAACGGCTAACATAGCTCACGCACTCGCAAAATGCACCGCGGACGACACCAAAACCTCACGGAGAAGCCAAAACTACAGGGGCAAATTTCTCTGCTAAATTTGATGGCAGTCTGGCAACAACAACCCCAAAGTCTAGCAACTGATTTATGCAAACGCCGAACAGAACCTTGCCATCACGTTAGGTTGTTGGAGAACCAGAGTCTATCGCGCACGTTACAGCCATGCTCAAAGGTGATTTTCAGGAAATTTCTATCAAACCGGGCGTCTGCACCTTCGTGGTATTTCTTGATACGCTTTGCAGACGCCTCGCGTTATCTCACCTCTAGGTTTGCCTGGCGATATGCGCGCTTCCTCGCCGCTTCCCATTGTCGAACGTTTTCAAGATCTGCTTCGCGACGTTGACGTGATGCTTCGGCCTCTCGTTCCCGTACGGCGGCATCTTGCCGACGCTGCCTTGCTGATGCGGCTTCTTGTTCCCGTACGGAAGGATCTTGCCGACGCAGACGTGCCGCTGCAGCTTCTTGTTCACGTACGGCGGGATCTTGCCGACGCTGCCTTGCTGATGCGGCTTCTTGTTCCCGTACGGAAGGATTTTGCCGACGCTGACGTGCCGCTGCAGCTTCTTGTTCACGTACGGCGGGATCTTGCCGACGCTGCCTTGCTGATGCGGCTTCTTGTTCCCGTACGGAAGGATCTTGCCGACGCAGACGTGCCGCTGCAGCGTCTTGTTCCCGTATGGCGGGATCTTGCCGACGCTGCCTTGCTAATGCGGCTTCTTGGTCCCGTACGGAAGGATTTTGCCGGCGCAGACGTGCCGCTGCAGCTTCTTGTTCACGTACGGCGGGATCTTGCCGACGCTGCCTTGCTGATGCGGCTTCTTGTTCCCGTACGGAAGGATCTTGCCGACGCTGACGTGCCGCTGACGTGCCGCTGCAGCTTCTTGTACACGTACGGCGGGATCTTGCCGACGCTGCCTTGCTGATGCGGCTTCTTGTTCCCGTACGGAAGGATCTTGCCGACGCTGACGTGCCGCTGCAGCTTCTTGTACACGTACGGCGGGATCTTGCCGACGCTGCCTTGCTGATGCCGCTTCTTGTTCCCGTAAAGCAGGATCTTGGCGGCGACGTCGCGCAGCTTCCCGGCGCGCTTCTGCCTCTCGGGCTCTCACTTCAGGGTCCTGTCTGCGAGCGCGCGCCGCCGCTTCCCTACGCGCCCGCCTTTCGGCATCATTATCCACACAAGCACACACGGACGGCTACGAGCATTGTCAACTACAAACCTGTATCGCGATATGGTTTTGATTATTAAACCATTGCTTTAGAAAACACCTGGCGTCTTTCGTTAAGCAGCTGGCGTCTTTTCGTTTTCTAAACATGCCAATGGCTGCTAATGGGGAATGAGAGACAGGATAATTCGGCTTTTAGTGAACGCGCACGCTATGAATTTTTTATTGTTCAACAATGCACAAGAGAAATCTCCCACCGGCACCCCCTTGCAGGTCAAAGCGTAAGTACACGTTGGTACACTCTCGCGTAAAACAAGTGGTAGCGCCAACTGGTAGGTGTTCTGTGGTAGCACAAAGGAAAGAAAGGTAAGAGAGGCCCTGACGTCACTCGTTTTGAAGCCGCGATGAAGCCGGAAGTCGGCCTTATTGACTGGGCAAATTCTCCTCTCTTGTTTACATCTGAATGTAAAGCAGAAGGCCACGACTCTCTCTCCGGCTCGGAAAGCACGTGAGCTGTGCAGCGCACGTGTCGTAACGATCCGAAACTAATGGAACGGGGCTCCTCTGGCCCAGCGCGACACCTTCGTCCAAATCATTTCGCCCGAGCTCACCGACAACGAAGCAATGCGAGAGAACGCGCGCTAGATGCACTGACAACGGCGAGTATTTTCACGTCATTAATTCAGCAACTGTACAGAAGACACGATCGGTCGTGCGCCTTCTACGGTTGAATTCTGCCACGCGGCCGACGCAGCTGTTACGTTGCTGTTACGTTGAGAATACATGTAATGCTGGGGGAGAGTATACGAAGCGGAACAGAAAAGGTGTTTTACTACGCCTTTTCTTCCTCCGTGAGTGGTAGTGTATAGGTGTTCTGTGGCAACGTTGTCTGTGGCGTCTGTGGTAAGACTGGTTCACGACCGGCTATAAAGCCGGTCGTGGACTGGTTGGTGGAGTGACAAATCCAATCCGATCCGCAGCCAGTTTTATAGCCGGCGTGAAGTAGCCAATCGTACAAAACTCTGTGCCGCGCGTGGTTGCGTGGTGGTTTCGGAACGCGTTTCTGTCACTCTTGTTAAACCAGTAGTGGCCAGTGGTAAGGAGCGGTGCAGTTACTCGTGGACAACAAACATCTAGCAATATGGACGTTACAATAGGCGCCAACAACCTTACGACTGCAGGAGAAATGTCAAGCCTGAAAAGCACATTTGTGGTTATCGGTGGTGGCATTGCAGGCGTGTCGTGCGCTGAGCAGGTGAGTGTTCCCGATTGCTGGCACTTCGCGCTACGCACTTGTGTCTATTCATTTCTCTCTCGCCGTTTTTCAGCTCGCCGTTCATGCTCCAGAGGAGTCGGTTCTACTCATCACAGCGTCGCCTATTGTAAAAGCCGCAACTAATGTTATAAAGGTAAAGCCTTGTCAGTAGTCTTGGCAACGATTTTGATTGCGAGGATGTGTATATAGCGTGATGGCAGAATTACTGGATAAATGGCTCTACAAAGCGTTTTACTCAGAGTGCATGCGAGCACCCTTCAGTAGAAAAAGCGCTGAGCTCACAAACACTTGTATGTTCAGTATTATAACATTTTATTTAATTTTTCCCCCCTTCTAGCTTCGCAGAGTAATGGAGAGTTTCGACATTGAGGAGCGTTCCATGAGCTACCTGGAGCAGCAGTACAGCAACATAAGAGTGCTACAAGATGTGCTCATCTCTCTGGATGCTAGTTCACGGGCAAGTAGCCTGCCATCTTTGTTGTTGCCCATTTGCCAGAACATTGGTAGAACATTTCTCACCTCGAGTAATCACTATATAGCAATGTTGCTGCAGAACTTCATTCGGGCTTTAAAAGAATGTTCATGCAGAAGCCTCCTTTATGAAATGTCTGAATCATGCACAAGCATACAGTCGTATTGTAGGCTCCATGCCTTTCCTAAATCGTTGTTTTCAGGCAGCATCGACATTTCGCATTTCATCATGTTTCCAGCATTCGTCAGCTTCTATAACCACCTCATGGCAGGCAGAGTTCTTCATTCAGGTGCATCCCACAACTGCTGAAAACGCGTGTTTGGCGTCAATTTTTTGTGAGGAGAAATATTCCTGATGTATTGCAATCCTTCAGCATTTAAATCCTGGCCTACTGGGATAGGAAGGACTTGTATTTCTCTACCATGAAATTCAATGGACCACAAATCTCCATCGCGGGTACAGCACATTCATATGGTTCAGACGTTGCCTTCACATGTATTAAGACTCTTGAAGTGTCCCAACAGTATACAACACACAATTCGTTCATGTTATTGTGACTTCATTTGTCACGGAGAAACTTCATCATTGACGGACACACCAAGCCACATCACCTGACAAGTCCGTCTTCCAAGGAGCAGCGTCAGCTCGAATGTGTAGTGCTGTTTAGGGTTTCGACTACGTGCAGGAGTAGCCTGCGTTAATAGACACTTGTGTTTGCTTACAGGTCTTTTATTGAAGATAGCTTTCAGCGGTTAAATAATGTGTGTTTTGCTGATGCGTGTGTAAGTCTAATTGGACTGAATTCTGTTGTGAATAGGTGGCAAGTGTTAGTGGTAATATTTGTTTTGCATTAATAAAAAAAAGGGGGGGGGGGGGGGCTGCAGCCTGGCAGCTAAAACACTTGCCCTTGGAGTGTGCAAGAGCCTTGGTTCAAATATGGTACCACCAAGAAAATTTATATTTCGCAATATAAATTTTCTTGTATTTTGTAATATGAACTTTCTGGGTGGTACCATATTTGAACCAAGGACTCTTCCACACTCCAAGAGCAAGTGTTTTAGCTGTCAGGCTGACTTCCCCCCTCCCCCTTTTTTTATTAACACAAAACAAATATTACCACTAACACTTGCCTCCTATTCACAACAGAATTCATCCAATTAGAATTATACACACATGAGCAAAACACAACAAGATATGCCACTGCATGTGCCAGCTTAACAGGAAACCTGTTGAATCATCACAATAAAAAAAAAATTAATGTACAAACATTAATTTTTTTATTGTGATGATTCAAAAGTTTCCTGTTAAGGTGGCCTATAAATGCTTACAGATTAAAAAAATTCAGTTTTGCTTTGTTATTCTCCAGCTCTTCTCATTAGAACTCATCATGTAGTAACTGCTAAAAATGCTGTTGGATCATGTTATTGATATCATTGGCTTTGAACATCAAACTTCTGCTTAACAGTGATGTATATTTTGCAGAATGCCTTCCTCAAGAGTGGTCGCGTGATCAATTATGGGATGATCTGCATTTGCATTGGTGGCAAGACCTCAGGTAAAGTGATCTTGAACCTTCCTTGAAGGCAGCTTTTTATGCTGATTGTGTGACTTTGGTTTGCACATCTTCAGTTAATTTCCAAGGATAACCCACTCGTATTCGGGATTAGGGACACAGAGACTGTCCAGGTAATGCCACATTTATGCTTTCAGAATTACTAACTCCAGCCTAGAGTGTAACAGGACAAGCAAAAACATTCGTGGCGTTGTGTCTTTGCAGACGCTGCAGAATCGACTTGGTAATGCCAGGCTCGTGGCTGTCATCGGCAATGGTGGAATTGCCACAGAATTTGTGTAAGCAACAATACTTGTAACCATATTCATAGTTCAGATTTGCGCTTGTAGTGAACTAACAGAAATAATTGCTGGTTTTGACGACAGTCTTGCAGGATACTCGTAATGCCTGGCAGTCTGCACTCTTAAGCAGCCTGCACCATCCCTAAGAGGTGGCCTGCTTGGCACTGGTGACATTATCTCGCCCCCTAAAGTTTAGTGCTTTCAAAGCATTCTTCAAACAGTCCTTTATCTTATCAGTGAAATTATAAAGGGGAAAATGTTTGGATAACTCTGATAGAAAAATCTAGGTTTGCAAATGAATCTGTACCATACTATGACAAGCCAACACTGCAGTTGGTGTCTTTTAGATGTAATAATTTATGTGCTGCCATGTGTGTTAGCTATCAAATGAAGCATTTTGAAATAGAAGTCCTGGAGAAATTGATAAAGTAATTGCTTGGTTGGGAAGTTCATAAAAACTGTCTTAAATTTCACTTATTTATGTGGCGTTAAATATTCTTTTGCCCATATATTGCAGATTGATTTGTTATAGGTTTTATTAGTGCAAAATTTGGGCCATGCCACTTCTTGCTTTAGTGATCATATTGACTGAGGTCCACTCGCTTTATTTGTCCTTACCCTCCACATTAAAGGCTAACTCCAGCTATTTTTTTTCACCATGTCAGGTTAGGGTAATGGTGCTTTTATGTTCCTTAGACACGCTTGTCATGTGCCTGATAGCTGAAATACTCAACGAATTCGAAAATAATTTTTAATAAACAAAAAACCATGATACCGAAATCAAAACCCGACCGAGTGCACTGTCTAAGTAGACGTAGTACTTTCGCCAGAGACTGAAATCCTGCAAGGCATGCTGGTCCTACCAGCGCGGAGTACGAAAACTGCGAAAGCCGCAAAAAAGTAGACGCTCAGCAGATAGGTCACCACGCCAACGCCGCACCATGTCTGTGACTGATCGTGCCTCATGCACAAGCTCCTCGAAGCTGTCAGACAATGACAGCTACAATGCGGACGCACTTGGATTTGGAGGTCAACAAGCATCAGCCGTTCCTCTTTGATGAAGCAGAACAGATTTTCATACAACAGTAAGACTGTAAGTTGGGCCAGTTAGGATCCATCGTGAACTTATTTACAGCGCAACACCAGAAAACACAGGACAGGGAAGGAGCGCTGTCTTTTCTTTCTCTTTTGCTCCTTCCCTGACCTGTGTTTTCTGGTGTTGCGCTGTAAATAAGTTCACGACAGATTTTCGTATTTGCTTGCCTGGTCGCGCATAATTCTGGGAGATGGCACTGCTTGTCCAAGTTTGTGCCTGCGACGATCGGCTAAAACGCGCTGTTATGGTGAATATATGGGGAACCCTGAGCTGCCCACAACACAACACCAGTTGCCACCCACACGAAAAAGAGAGACCGCACGCTCAACCAAAGAGGCACCGATGAAACACACAATTCATAGCAGACAAGCAGGCGCACCATGTGGCACGTCAGTTTTCTCACTTCTGTCGCTTGCAAAAATCAACAACTCACACAAAAAGGTGGGCGTTTGGAGGAAAGCTATAAAATTGATTTGATAAGAACCTGCGATACTCTCAAGCCTGCAATATTGGCATAAATGGCGCAAACGTGCAAGCGAATGCATCCAGTACATTTTATTCAGATTTATTGAACTCGAAAAATCGCTGAAGTTGGCCTTCAAAGATTTTACTGCCTCCATCTGTTGTCCCTTCATCTTAAATGTGGAGTAAGACATATGTGCTCGCGCTTTTGCTGCGTGCAGACATGAAATACGTGGCTGCCAGGTCCTTTGGGTTGTGCGAGAAAACAGCATTGGCGCTACCTTCTTTGACCCCGGAGCTGCACAGTTCTTTCTGCCACATTTGAGCTCGGAAGGCACTGCGAGTTCAGCCAAAGCAGAGCAGGCTGAAGACTGCGGAGACTCTGAGTGCTCCAGCCATGGTTTGTACGCAAGATGATGGTAGAAACATTGAGTACCAAAGATGCGTGAACCCACATACCTTACCTTGTCCCAGTGTAGTGGCACCTGTCCTTCACCCCCAGGGACTTCCAAAAAGAAAAAAAAACTACTTTCTTTGAAGAACTCACCTTTATTAACTGAACTTTTGGGGAGTGCTGCACTTGCTGCTTTATGGAATTATTATCTACCAAGATGTATATGTTTCTAAAAAAAAATGCAGTGGTGGCTACATGGTTAGAGCGTCCGCTTCCAATGCGGGAAGTGCCGGATCCAATTCCCAGTGGTGATCGGGAACCCACCTGTTTTTTCCAATGGGTAGAGGGGTACATCAACCTAGTGCTCAGTTGTTTCTGGGTACTCATCTCGAAAGGTATCCCCATAAGGTGCAGCGAAGGCCCCTAGGCGTACCTTAACTGACCACAGCCTTGGTGAAATAGTTGAGCATCCACTGCTGCTGCGGGAAGCAGAGAATTACTGCCGCCAGGTATCTACTGGCTAAATAGGTACAAGCTCACTTTTGGCCTGGTGCTCGGTAGAACGAAGTTGTAGTCGCTTGCGAGGGCACCCACTCCGTGGGAAATTGGTGGCATGGCACCACCAGACCTAAAATTGAGGTCATACTCTCTTTGTTTTTCTTTTAACCATTTGCAGCCTTTTTAACCTTTTCAATTCTAGTTCTGTATTAGAGATATCATAATTGCGCAGGTTGTATAGGGCTATCATAACATCTGGCTTGCAATTTGTGTAAATTTTGAACATAAATTTTAGCATTACTAGAGACCAGAAAGACCTCTACTGGTCTTCTGTTGTTTTTCGTCAATGAGCACGTAGGATATTTTTTTAAGTGCATGCTAAGCAAGGCATATTTTTTAAATAATGTGTGTGTGATATAAAAAGTACAGTAAAAACTTATTAATTCAGATTTCATGTGACCGTAAAAAATCCAAATTGACTGAATTCTGAATGATCGAAAGTATTAAGAATATCATAAAGCAAATTGCTATCTTATAAATTAACTTTCCTTTGTTTGATGAATACGTAAATCCCGTACATACTTTGCATAAGAGCAGTGTAGGAGCTGCAATTTCCACCACTCGTAACTTTGTTCACAGTGTGGCTGCAGCTCAGGACCTGCCACTTTTTAACCTCCTCCAACGTGCAAACCCGTAATGCCATTACTGCTGTTACCATATGGTTTTCACTGATGAGGATGGGCATGCATACTGCTCCAACTTTGTTCGATTGTCTGCAAAAGCCATTTTCGCTCCTTCGCGTCGCACATTTCTGGCACTTTGCACTTGCCGCAGTCCAGGAATTATCCAAAATAACCGAGTTACGGCCAAGTGTGAACGAATTAACGAGAGTTCTATAGCTTGGCACAATGCATATGCTGGCTTGGACCAGCAAACACATCAGAATTATCCAATTTTTCAAATTAACGAGGCTAGAATTAACAAGCTTTTATTGTATTGTATTATTTCTCAAAAGCTCTCTAGTATTGCAGGCTTGAGGTGACATGGTGTACATAATGTACATAAGCTTGCTAGGATACAGTTCCTCTGTGACAAGCTACACTGCATGAAATGTGCTGAGGACGCCAGTCCTGTTTTGTGCAGCAAACCAGGACCTTCTGCCTGCAGGGAGTGCTTTGGGGCCAGACTGGGCGAAAGGTCGTGTTTTGCAAGGCGGAACTCAGGTTAGATATGAAGAGTTTCACGAGGCGTGCTTTTATGACATTTGTGTACCACGCACATAAATTGACAGCATGAGCAGCACCGCAACGGTAACATATGCCAGACAGTGTACTTCGATCGCTTTTTTTTTTTTTTTTTGCGACACATTGTGAATGATTTTGAGTTCAGTTTCTCTTTATGAATAGTCCGGTGTGATTCTGCAAATGAAAGGTGTGTCTCGCTTTTCATAGTTGGGAAAAAGGCTGATCTCCGATCTAGCTCACATGTAGTGCATGACATACTGCTTGTCATCGCTGAATAGTAGGCTTGTGCAAATAGTGAATTTTAGGTATCGAATCAAATTTTTTGCAAATAATGATCTTGGTCAATTAATTTTGAATCGAATTCGAATAGTATATGTGACATATTATAAAAAAAAAATGGGCATATTTGTAGTGACTCGGCAAATGTGCGCAGTACTTTTTGAAAATTGAAGCAGGGCCTGTGCAAATGCCGTTCCTTTTAATCCAAAGGAAGTGGAAACAACTTTGAGTAGTAGCTGGATTTGACTTTTGGTAGAATGCAAATGATAATCTTTAAAATACGGGGTCTCTTAAAATTCACTGTAATTAGAGCATATAAGCCAGCAGAGCATATAAAAAAAATGATGAATTGATGTGAGGGAAATGGTTACCCGCCACGGTGGTGTAGTGGCAAAGCACTTGGCTGCTGCCCGCAGGTCGCGGGATCAAATCTCGGCTATGGCGGCCGCATTTTCAATGGAAACGAAAATGTTTGAGGTGCTAGATTTAGGTGTGCTCAGATTTAGGTGCACGTTAAAGAACCCCAGGTGGTTGAAATTTCCGGAGCTCTCCAGTCTCTCATAATTAGTATATAGTGGTTTTGGAACGTTAAATTCTATCCCCACTGCAACGGCTGCATTTTTGATGGAGGCCAAAAAGCTGTAGGCCAAAAAGCTGTAGGCCCGTGTGCTCAAATTTCGGTGCACGTTAAAGAACCCCAGGTGGTCGAAATTTCCGGAGCCCTCGACTATGGCATCTCTCATAATCGTATGCTGGTTTTGGGACGTTAAGCCCCATATAACAACAACAAACGTTAATTTTTAACTATTATTATTAACTTTGAAGTGGGGCTTTGCAGCAGTGCGAATGTATCCTGGATAGGTGTATGGGGACCACTGTGCACAAACCTGCGCAGCCTCCGTCTCGTCACTGGATAGCCCGGCGTGACACGGCCACTTGCTGCAACACGCTTCCGATGAAGGACAGCGCCAGTGCAGTTGCACTGGAGGCTTATGTCACCCCTGGTGACTATAAAACCCAAGATGCCAAGCACGGTTTTACAATTGTTTTTTCTCTTATCTTTCAAGCACAGCGTCGGCATGCTCGCCCCGCTGCTGCTACCACGTTGATAAACAGTCATTATGTTTTATGTTGGGATGCGTCCTTCCATCCACACCCACACGGCATTCCACATGTGCACTCACTGCTTAGCACCCCATCACTGCAGTCAAACCATCTTTACAAGTGGTTACATGCGGATGATATACACCTATTCGTTCATTTCAAATACTTCAAGATCTTCAACAACTTAAATTCGAAGCGAAGTGAATTCGAATGCAGTAATATTCGTTCAAGTAGTTGAAGCATTTGAACATTTGCACAAGCCTACTAAATAGTATCTCTACATCTGAAAGCACTTGGACTGAGTGTGATAAATAAAATAGCTCAAACATTTTGAATCTTTGTGAAGAACAAACACGGCTGAACTTGTCACCACAAAATAAGAAGTTAGAGTGGACAAGACTGCACACATGTGCTTGAACTCAAGTTCGCCATGCAATTCAGCAATCCACTATAAAGTTTTTTATCATTACATTGATCAACAATTTATATCTGAATGTGCATGTCATGGCTGCGGTATTTTGTGCATGCCCAAAACCATCTAAACGTTATTATCAATCTAAACGTTAATCTTCTGTGACTTGTCACGAGTGATTACTGATGGCCTCTTGTGGCTAAGAAATGTAGTGTAATCAATATGGTTGCATATATGTGTTGCATGCTTAAGTTCACATATATGCTTAATTTAATGCTCATGCAACTTCTTTATAACAAAATTTTAGGTGTAGTCTTATGGCATATATAATATATAATAAATATACTGTGGCTGCAGTAGCACGAATAATTGGGCTAGTTGGTATTGGTTCATCTTTTAACTGTGTGTGCACCCTTATTCAGTTAAAAGATTGTTGCTGTTTATTATATTCTTATGCCCTGGAAGAGATACGTTAAAGCGCATATTTAATGCTCGCATAGTGTCCTAGATAGTGTTTCCGTCCAGTGTTCACATTTTTGATCACCTTGGAGTCTGCTGATTCACAACAATGTCTCTGAACATAATAGGTGTAGGTATTTCTTACTTACTCTGTAAGCCTTGTTGGAACTCATCAGTTCTACAAAATATCTCTTTGCAGAAAAATGTGCATATTGAATACAGCTGTGAAGTTCGCATGCTGCTGACACCTGCCGAGTTTAAGAAGAAGGGTCTCGCCGATTCCAGCTGCGACTTCAAGTTTGTCTCCAACTGGCCCGTGTACGTGCTCCTAACGAATGACAAGTGCTTTGGTGTTGACCTCATCGTGAGCGCAACTGGTGTCACACCCAATGCAGACACCATCAGTGCGCCTCAGGTGGGAAATTGGATCTTCAAATGTGCTGGCATGGCTTTCAAAAAAGTGCTGTGATGAACTGTGCATTTTTGAGGCACACCAAAATTCCAATGGGCTATGCAGTAATGTAAGGGCTATTGCGAAAACACTGCTGCTATTGCAGCTTTAGTGCAATGCAGTATATACTAAATTGCTTGGTTGAATGACACGTGGTCAGCTCTATGTTCTGTGAGGTCCAAGAGCAGCAGCTACATCTGAACCCCGATTTCACACTTCCTTGCAGAATCGCCTTGCAGTTGGCCTGTGTGAACAGGGCAGCCTCAAGGCTTTGCAATTCTTATTGTACTTGCACGGCTGTTTGAACAGCTCTTCCTGGCTTGTATAGACAGAATTCACTATGATGACACAGTGCTTAACTTAATGCAAGCTTTTTCACATGCACTATCGAGGTTTTAGACTAATTGAAAGGTCATTGCATTTAGGTTATAGAGGTACAGCATGGGCCTCGATATATTTGTGTACATTTTTTCTCGTTCACTACTTGTTTTAGTGTGCAAAATCAGATTAAATAAATTTTCAGCTCTAGTGCAACATTTTTGTGCTGCTTTCGTAGGAGAGGGAGCTTTACTCATGAAGGCATCCACCATCATACTTCACGTTCCACTGCAGTTAGACGTGGCCACAGATGGCGGTATTGTGGTGGACCGCCAGATGAGATCCTCACTGGCAGGTGTGTATGCAGCAGGCGACGTTTGTACAGCAGGCTGGGAGCCTGCGGAGCTCTGGTTTCAGCGGCGCCTGTGGACGCAAGCACGGCAGATGGGCCACTGGGCAGGCACGTGCATGGCAGCCCACTGGTCAGGGAGTCCCGACCCCCTGGAAGATGCTCGTTTTGACCTCTTCTCTCACGTGACACGCTTCTTCGGATACCGGGTGAGAAGTCCTTTGATTATGGCGAGCTCTTCTACATTACAGGGCTTTTAAATCACTTCCAGTAACTTTTTAATGTTTCAAATAAATGTGTGCACCAAGTTCAAAATGCTGTCACAATGAACAGTGCCAACTGAAGGAGCCAACTGCAGAGCTGCAGGCGAGCCACCAATTCCGAGAAACAATCCCTTCTCCTCATCTGTCCTTTCGCTAATCCCCATTGATGGCTTGGATGTCAACATTTGGGTCTGGTCATGTCATCCACAAAAAAAAGGAAAAAAATCGTAGCATATCTCTGGAGTGAATGAGTGGGGCGAAGCTTCTGAGGGTTTTATCGGTAAGCCGCAAATCTTTCATCTGTCTGTCTGTCCATTTGTCTTTGTATGTCTGTCTGCCCTTCTGTACCTGCTGAGTGGGTTGTGGAACTAGGCGGTCACGTACAAAGAATGTACAAACCCACGACTTTAGGGCTTTGCCCCTATAAGAAAAGCTGTTTGCCTGCTTGCAAGTGCGGGCACTGACCGCTCTTCGTTCTCACGGCACAAGGAGGAGCACCCAAACAGAATACAGTTTGCTAAAATATACTGGGCAGTGGGTTCAGTAAAGGGTGTGCTTTGCACGATCGCATGAAGTGGTGAGTGTTGACGGTGCTTACAGCCCTTAACCTGTGACCTTTGAATAATGAGTCTGATGCTCTACCACTGAGCTGCAGTAATAGTCGTCCCCCCCCCCTCCCCCCATCCACTTCGTAGAGTATATACGTACATATGAACATAGATGGATAGGTGGATTGATATGGCTGTACCCTTTAGATTGGGCGGTGGTTAACGCCACCAAGCCGTAATACTTATGAACCAAAAACTGGATTTATCTTTTTCTTTAAATAGTGAGGTTGAGAATTCGTACTTTGCAGTGAAGGGTTTAATTTTCACTCTTGCCTTGACTTTAGCCACCAGTCAGATAACCTTTTTCTAGTTAATTCTACACGCTTAAAGTATATTTTGCCCTCCCTGTCCCTAAACCCCAGTGTTTGAAAAACTCTGCGCCATCATCCTGAGCTTTAGGGTGAAGCCCTTTACAGAACATTATCAAGTGTTCGGCTGTTTCCTCTTCCTCTCCACACGCACTTGCACACCGTGTCTACCCCTTCGTATTTGGCCCGATATGTGTTGGTTCGCAGTACTCCCGTCCTGGCCTCAAACAGTTGAGATCTACCCCGAGTATTATCATAGATCCTTTCCTTGGCAATTTGCTGCTTAAAAGTAGCGCGGACTTCTTAATCATGCCAATTCTCCACATATCGGTCTCAGCTTCCTCCACCTTCTTTTTAACTGATAATTCTTTTTGGTTTGGCCCCCTGCTATTTTTGAAGTATTTACCAGTCAATTTCCTGGTTCACTTCCTCTATTTTGTATCGACATTCTTCATGTAAAAGTAGCTAAATACCTCCCTAGCCCAACGCTCCTCCCCCATTTCTCTCAATTGCTTCTCAAATTTTATCTTGCTGCTAGCTTCCCTGCCCTCAAATGATGTCCATTCCAAATCACCTTGTACTCCCTGATTTGGTGTATTCCCGTGAGCTCCTAAGGCAAGCCTACCTATTTCACGTTGCTTAATTTCTAATCTTGCTTGAACTTCCGATCTCATGCACAAGACCGCATTGCCGAACGTCAGACCAGGAACCATGACCCCTTCCCATATTCCTCTCACAACATCATACCTATTGTAATTTCACAGTGGCCTGTTTTTTATCACTGCTGCATTCCTGTTACCTTTAGTCGTCACGTATATTTCGTGTTCCCTTAGGTACTCGGTCCCATTGCTTATCCATACGCCCAGATATTGTATTTATTTGTTATCTCTAGTGTGACTTCCTGTATTCTAAGCTCACTACCTTCATTATCATTAAAAATCATGACTGCTGATTTTTCCTTACTGAATCTGAAATCTAACCCATCTCCCTCATTACTGCAGATGTCCATCAATCTCTGCAAATCTTCATTGTTGTCGGCCATTAGCACTATATCATCTGCGTACATCAATGCTGGTAGTGCCTGTTCAATGAGTTTTCCTCGTTTGATGAAAGAGAGGCTGAAGCCCAGTCCACTTCCCTCCAATTCGGCCTCTAATCCTTGTAGGTACATCATGAGTAACAAGGGTGACTGAGGACACCCCTGCCTAAGCCCCTGTTTTACCTCTGTGGGCTTGGATACCTGTTTTTTCCACTTTATAACTACCATGTTACTTTTATAGATATCCTTTAGAAGATTAGCAACTCTATCTTCCACACCTACTGTGGCCAGTATTCCCCACAAGTCCTCTTGAACCACGCTATCATACGCTCCTTTGATATCCAAAAATGCTAGCCACAGGGGCCTGTGATCCTTTTCTGCTATTTCGATGCACTGTGTCAGTGAGAACAGATTGTCTTCCAACCTCCTGTGTTTCCGAAACCAATTCTGTAGTTCCCCCAGCACCCCCTCATCCTCTATTCATGCCGGCAGTCCTTCATTTATAACCTGCATTGCCAGCCTGAAGACCACTGATGTCACTGTTATAGGACGGTAGTTGTTTATGTCAGCTTTGTCCCCCTTTCCTTTATAGATCAAGCTCATCCTGCTAAGTTTCCATCCATCGGGGACTTCACCATCGATTATTATTTTGCTCACTGCCTCTCTCAAAGTCTGCTTAGACTTCGGACCCAATGTCTTTATCAGCATAATTGGAATGCCATCTGGGCCTGTTGATGTACTACTAGGAACCCTCTTCTCAGCCCTTTCCCACTTTCGTTGCGAAAATGAAGCCATCGCCACTTGATTTATCCTTGCCTATTGTGGTGCATAAGGCACTTTGTTAAAAATTTTTCTATCACCCTTGTTCTTATATATTCAATAGCTTCGTCCCCTTCTAGCCTAGCACCTTGAGCTGTAGTTATAAACCTCTGCTCTAGGCTCGTCTCATTTCTTAGGGAGTTTAGATGGTACCAAAATTTCGCAGCTGCGTTTCTATCCTTTTTATGTACTTCTGCCAGCCACTGAGCCCCAGTTCTTCTAATCTTTTCATTGATCAGAAGGGATGCTTCCCTTCTACTGCTTAGAAAGATTTCCTATTTTCTTTCAACATCATCTGTCGGTTCACCCGCTGCTTAGCGTGTCTGTGTTCCCTAGAGGCTTCCCGACGTTTTGCTATGGCTCTCTTAACTTCCTCATCCCACCAAATCTTGGGTTCGTGCCTTCTTTTCCGGGGTGACTTGTCACGTGCCTTAGCAAGCTCTAGCTCAAACAGTCTAATTAGATTCGTGTATGTCCACACTGCTTTATTATCCTCAGTGATTACTTTCTCAATTTGTTTTGTAGCTATTTGTTTGCCTTTCTGAATAAAAATTTTCCTGTAGTTGCTCATCTTCTTTTCTTCCCACTTTCACTGCTAGTTCAAAACTTAGCTTGATATGTTTGTGATCACTACCCAGACTTCTGCTGGAGACAAATTCATCTATGTGCATTCCCCTGAGCCTATCGTACATCTTATGTGACATCAGTGCGTAATCTATCGTCGACTGCAGCCTTCCCACCTCCCATGTTATTTGCCCTTCACACTTCTCAGTACTGTTGCAAATGATCAAATCATGCCTTTCACACATATCCATGATCATTTTGCCTGTTGGGTCGGTATACACATCTATATGTTCTATGTGCACATTCATATCTCCTAGTATAATTATCTCGCACTCTCCTTCCAATTCCTCAATGTCCTTTGATATACACTCTGCCATTGCCTGGTTTTCCTCTCTGGCCTTCGCTCCCGTCCACAAGTACACCAAACCAAGGAGTGTCATTTGCCCTGCCACTTTCCCTTTTAGTTATAAATGTTCCTTGCACTCCTGCTTGACCCTTTGCCAGTCTGTACTTTTATGAATGAATGCCCCAATACCACCCCCCTTTCTGCTGCCTTCTGTTCTGTTACAATATTCTCACGCGTAGTCCAGATTGTTAGGAGGTTGTTCCGTGTCCCTAAGACATGTTTCTGCAAAACCGTATACCATCGGCCTCTCCTCCCTTAGATGTTCTATCTCTTCCCACTTCAGCCTGTTCCTGCCACCCTGCATGTTAATATATCCTATGTCTGAATTGGCTCGGCCCTCGTGGCTACGCCTATTTCTACCCCGGACTCTACCTATCTTAGATACTGGTGCCACTTTGGAATCTTATCCGTCCATACTAACTGTCAAAGAGTCTCCCTGGTTTTTTCCTTGTTACTAGCTATCCTGCACCCCGAAGGGCCCGCGTGCCTCCCCAAAAAAGCTACTGCGCGTCCTGCAAGTCGCCAACCCACCTCATGACCTAGCCGCCCATCGAAGTGAATTCTGTCTCGTTGAAAACTACCCCACCTATGCACCTCAAAGCCTTTCTCTCTACTCATCCGCCATATCTCTTTGTTTGCGTTGACAACCGCTTTTTGCAGGTTGCCGTCACGCACCGGTACCTCCGGTATTGTGCATATCACTACCTATACCCGAGGAGAAGTAGCGCGCATGTCATTGACCCCTTTTGCCAGTGCGGTCGCTAGTCCTGCTGTATCTTCATTTAAGACATTGTTTAAACCGCCTAAAATTATCACGAGGTTTCGTCTATCAGCTGTAGTTTTTAGTTTTGTGCTCGCTTGCCTCATGACTGCTTTCAGCTGGCGTCCTGGGAACGTTCCTACTGCAATCGTCTTGTCACCTCTTACCCTCTCCGATTGCTTCTACGCATCGATTTAAATTCGAGTCCCCGGCGATTATATGCTGCGACTTTTCAGCTGGAGCGTCCTGCACCTGGGGGTTACTTGCACCTGTGACGCCGGCTGCTTTGTCCCCTCCCAGCCCCACCACTACTTTGCTGAAGTTTGGTCTTGCGACCATTGAACTGGCCTGAACTTGTTCTTTTCAAAACTTGCTGGCTCTTTCTTCTCCGCCGTTCTGGTTTCCAGTGCCTTACTGTTCTCTCCGTCGGCCGCTCCTTTGTTCACCTTCGCTAGTGCTTCCTCGGCGGACTTCAGCCCTTCTCCCATAGCCCTTGTTTTCTCTTGCTCTATCGCCAACGCAGTCGCCAGCTCGGCGATTCTCAACACGGGCGTGTCAGGCAGCGCCACCTGTTGTCATTCATGATGAAACAAGCGCTAAAGATACACACTCTCAGAGAGGACACAGACAAGCCTGTTGTCATTGCGGCGAGCCTGTTGGCACCATGTAGCAAGTGATCTTATAAGTTGGCAGCTGACCAATTCCCCCTGGCATACTTCCTGGGAACATCAAGTCTGCCAGAATGTGACCCTCGCTTTGAATGAAGTGTCTATCTAAGAGCTCGTTTTTTTGTTAGACACAATATTATAGAGAACAGATAATTTAACAGCTTGTGCAGTAATCATGGATGGCACGAGTGCTTCTGCTCTTCTGGTGGAGACCCTGTTGTGTCGTAACTAAACAAATGAGAATTCTGAATGACATACTGTTAAACATAGCACTTGTTAGTGTCATGCTTGTTGATTTGGGGGGAGATTTAGCATGGGGATCTTGGCCATTGCATCAGGAGGCAGCTCTTTCTACACACTTTCATACTCTGCAGTGATAGTCACGACAGCTCAAAGGAACACAACTGAGGCAGACATGTTGTCCATGGTGGCATTTATTCACAGCAGCATTGCAGTTAGCTCGTTCTGTCAGTTGGTTGAAAGAGATGGTCTTGCAGGTGGTCCTTCTGGGAGTCTTCAATGGCCAAGGCTTGGCTGACTGCAGAGCCCTTGTGCGTGTGAACCCAGGCCAAGAGTACATCAAGCTGCTTCTGCACGATGGGAGGCTGAAGGGCGCTGTGCTGATCGGAGACACAGACCTTGAGGAAACTTGCGAGAACCTCTTGCTTGATCAACTCGATCTGGGCCCACTTGCTGATCACCTGCTTGACCCCGAAGTGGACATCGAAGACTTCTTTGACTGACCTTGCATTCGAGGACTGAAAAATGCTCGTTCATCACTCACAGAAATAGTCTTCACAAACGGCCACTTCTTCACGCAACGCCCAAAACGGTTTCTGCAGTGGGAGCTTAGTCTTTGGCTGGAAAAAACATGACGAGCAAGGATTGCGGCTTCAAAAAACCACTCAACGGTACCACACATGGCCGGCTGAAGAGCCTACTACTGTTGCACGCAGTGCTACACTGCTTTCCATCACATGTTTTTCGCTCGATCGGCCAGTGATGGGACCCTGATGAACCTGGTGTGAGCTTGAGCATGGCCGCTGAAATACAGTATGAAAGTGCGGGCAGAAGTGGGTCCTCTTGCCTGCCGATCGTCAATACACTTGCAAAAGGGACTAAAGTTCACATTGACAAGCCACACGTTTTTCCCTGCAGCACTGCTGAAGGGAAGCCTGCTGCTAAACACGCGTGCCACGAGGCTAATAAAATTAACCCTGTCAAGCATGAACAGGATGGGACGTTAAAGCTAGTGTTTTCAGTGGGCATGGCGGTGAGCGTTACCCGATTCCCAAGCCAAAGAATGATTAGTGCGGCCATAATCCACATGCACATATTAATCCAGTTAAAGAGGAGCCAGCCACTTTAACGGTGCGTCCAGCGGCAACCTTACCCTTCCAGCCGCACTGCAGTAAGCTCTACACCAAAACATAGATGGATGGACGTCCATAGCTTGCACAATTGCAAGAATCCACGTGGGAGGTGCATGCCTCGGATAGGCGGGCACTGCTGAAGGGAGCTGGAGCACAAAATAGGAGGTGTCGCAAACACCTTTGGCTGTTGGAACTGCCGCCGCCTAAAGGTGCTTGGCGGCATGCCTCGGACAAGATTGTGAGGGACGGGAACATTGGGAGGACGACTGTCGATCCGCAGCCTTGCCTTCTTGCACAGACCCTGCAGAGGCGGGGCACCGGGGAGTGGTGCCGCCAGTCCAGGTGGGGGACGGGAGCTAAGCTCGTCGACGGTTTGGCACTTAGGGAGCGCACAGACTGCAGTCCCTTCAGGCGTCCGTCTCGCCACGAAGCCGCAGCCGTGCGAAGTCTTCGAAGATGATGTCATCATCATCTAGGCTGGCCGCAGCATCCCTACGCAACAGAACGAGAAACTTATTTATACGAGCAGCATCGGCAAGGCCAACTTCACAACGGTGAGTTTCTGGATGCTCTAGCAACCTCTGTTACAGAGCATGGTAATGTTGACAAATGTATTAAAGAAGACAGTTTGATCGAAGTTTCATCACAGCTTAAGTTTGCGTTTCCCTGAACAAAGTGCAAAACTACAAAGGAAACAAGTTGCTTCCCCAAAATGGAAGAGTCACAGTGAGTAAAGAAAATAAATAATTGCTTGCATTATGTATGTATCGCATAAAAGCTTACATGAGAAATTATTTATTTAGGACATGTTTTCTACTTTCCACCAGTCCAGCAACCTGCAATAAAGTTGCGATGCTGCTCAGTGTCTCAGAATTCTGACCAACTTATTATCTCCCCTTTGACTGCAAGGGATACAATGAAACCGGTCTCTTGTGAGGGTGATTCTTCTCATTAAAGGAATCGGCTCCCTCATGCTTCTGTCTCCAAAGATAGCACTTAACATTTTTTTCACCCAATTAACAAGAGCACCTGCATGCACATTGTGGTACTGTCATTAGTTAGCTCTACCAATGTTCCTTAGCCATATGGTCACTTTAAATACAAGAGACACCACAAGCTTCTCCTTTAGTATGTCAACTTAATTATGGGCAGACAGCACCCACTTTGCAGGCAGTCTGACAGCAGTGTCTGAGTGGACTAGCTGTCACGAGTGAAGAATGTAAGACGCTCGTGTAAGCCAAGTGTGAAATATTTTCAAACAGCAATTTTGTCAAGCGAAATGGATGTGCGTCATTGTGACCTGATGGTAGTGGTAATAGTTGTTAGGGTTTAACATCCCAAAATCATGATAGATTCTGAGAGGCGCCGGAGTGAAGGGCTCTGGAAATTTTGCCATCTGGGGATTCTTGAACATGCCCTAAATTTAATTATGTGGGCCTCAAGCATCTTGTCTCCATCAAAAGTGCAGCCATCGTGGCTGGGATTCGATCCCGTGACATATGGGTCAGCAGTCGACCACCATAACCATTAGACCACTGTAGCGAGTTTGTGACCTAATGGAACGGGCTCTGGACTACTGCGCTGATGGACAGAGAATTGATCCGACATTATGCTAGGCACTTGCAGTCAGACCCCTCAATAACAAAATTGCCAAGGAAGATCAATTTTCGTTTATTGTTGCCAAAACAGACAAATACGCGCACTAGCTACTTCACACATCCAAATCTTTTTTTTAAAAGAGGTCGCTGATCTTGCCCTGCATTACCTTGCTTTGAAGGAGCTCGACGACACGAGCTTCGCAGTTTAGCAAACTTTGGATAGCTTCATTGTTGTTGTTGCTTTGTAAGTAAGTACATACTGTAATGTCAAAAGCATCAAAAGCTTTGTGTGAACTTCCTTGCGTTTCTTAATATGAGGCAGCATATCTTTCCGAAACACCAAACAATTCTGCATGTAAGCAGAGTGCTGGAAATTCCAGCATGCACACAAAAAAGCGAGCCCTAGCAATAAGCAGTTTACAAAATGTATGTCGGCATGGGGCATGGCGCCACATTTGTAGGTGTAGTAGCTTCAAATGTCATGTGCCAACATGGTTGCCACAGAAGCATCAGCAAGAGACTGTTCTCAGTAGGAAAAGTCTTGTTTCTGACCGAATGTAAGCAGCAATGGTTGCACAGATGATTGCTAGCGGAAACGTATGTGCCCGACTTGCCGAATGAGCGCTGCTGCAGTTTTCGAACTTGCGTGTTTCCAGCTAGCTAGTGGGTTGAAGAAAAATGTTTCGAATAACTACCCGTAACATTCGTTATTGCAGGAGTGCTTTTCAAAATCTCGTTGCTGTCGAGAGAGGGCTAATAGATTGAACTTTAAAGATGTTCACCAGGGATGCCAGATTTCCTCACTGCCATGAGAATTTGATTCTTGAGGGCATTTGTTATTGAGGGGTTCAGCTGTATTTGTAACCATTACTGAAATGCTCCAAATTAATGTTTGAGGTACACTGAACATAGCATATCAAGAACTTGACAAGAGATGGGAGCTATATGATGAGCAAGCATTCAAGGCCATCTCATTTTATCAGACAGCATTTGACAAACGAAATGTTTCACCACAAAAACTACGATGGCTAGCTTTGGTTGGTAGCGTCATTTCAGTAAAAAGTGGGGACACCGGAAGTGTCATTAAAGAGCACCTTATTTGTTCAATTAGCCCCGCTCCTGAACACCTGCTAGCAGGTCTGTTTTGTTCTTGCATACAGAACCACAAGAGAAAAACGTACGTGTCCAGCTCAATCAAATTGGTGTCCAATGGTATGGGTCCTGGAGCCTTGGGTTCACTGACAGCTCGAACTGGACTTGATTCTTCGGGTTTCGGATGCATCAGGATGAAAGGCAGCTCAGCTACCAGGTCCCTGGAGCATGCAATGAAGTTTGCCTGGTTAAGTTCGCACATGCGTCCTACACACTGTTGCATTCCAAGCATATCTGTACAAAATAAATATAAAATTTAATATTACAGTACAAAGAGAGAAAGAGACTGAAAGTTAGTTGTCTTGCTGCGACACTCCCACGAAATTGCATGACAGGCTATACTCGGTGACGAGCTACAGAAGAACTAACCGAAGCGCATGCCTGCTGCCGCATCAAGAAATAGTGCTTAAGCTTAGCGATATTTTTTCATTTTGCCTTGCTGAGATAAATGCTGCTTTATTTATTATGAAAGTCAAACAGCTGAGGGAAGTTGTTGGCAAAATACAGTTATTGTTCACTTTGCAAGAATGTTGTCTTTTTCTTTCCATTTTTTAAACAGCACCACCTTTTCATCAGCACGCCAGTTTTTTAAAGTAAACATGGTGTCCATGATGTAGTGGGTCAGTGTGCGGCTGCAAATGCACCGTTTAGTTTCTGAGAAACATACTCATAATGTGGCACTAAAATGCACACTGAACCATCGAAATGTTTCTCCCATTCACGATGCGAGCGAGCGAAACGGAAATCAACCACAAGCTGTCGTACTACTCGCGGAGCAACGCGAATGTGCAGAAGCCCTGCCTCCGTAGCCTTCGCTCCAATGTCAAGATAACTTGAGTCTAAAGTGGATTTCTGTAACCTTCACTAAAACTTTATAAGCAATCAGAAAACACAGCAACAGCATAAGAACTGACCCTCCAAGTGGTCCCAAGCAGAGCTTCACTTTGACCTTGTATTGCACGATGATGCCAAGGTTCTCCTTCTGTGCTGGGTCGGTGATTCTGAAAACAGTATTCACCACAGCCAGTTTGGATTGTGCTATACACGTGCACTGTAAAATTGAAATGTTTTTTTTGTTGTTGTAAAAATGAAAAAAAAAAAGCTGGGAGGGCATATGCATGATGATAGTGTTACATGTGTGAGTTAGTTAATTAAGCTACAACCACATAAAATCAACAAAGAAAGCAAAGGGTCAATGAACTGTTCACTTCTTGTGGTTGTAACTACCAAGAAATGAAGCCTCTCTATTCCCATTCATTGTCATCGTCAACCTGTTACAGTCATATGCAGGAAGAAGGCCTCTCGCAAAGATCTCCAGTTTGCCCTATCCTGAGCGAGCCGATTCCATTCTACCACTGCGAACATCCCAATTTTGCCACTCCCTCCGTCTGCCTTTCTTCACTGCATCTCTTATCCTTCAGTCGGCACTCTGTTGCTCTTACTGTACGCTGGCTCCTATGCATTACATGACTAGCCCAGTTTCATTGCTCTCACTTTGATGTCAACTAGGATGTCTGTTTGTTCTTGGACCCAATCTGCAGTCTTTTCCTGCTTATCTTGCATATGTGGCACAAGAGGTGTTCAAATTGGCATTCCTGGAAAATGGAAAACTTGCATGTGCTTAGCACAATTTCAGAACCCAACCCTGTTTCATGCGTGCCATTTTGGTAGACTCACCTACCCAATACTCACGAGAGCATATAGCGGGGAGACCAATTCTGCACGAAATGCTATGGCTGTTCTATATTTCTACAAGCAAAAGTGTGCTCACATAGTGGATGAAGCAAGGTTGGTGTCTTCGTGCTTCAGCTGCCCATCCAGCGCCAGACCCCGCTTGTCCTTGTTGTTAGCGAGCAGGGGACGCAGGTAGTACACCTTGGAAAGTGTAAAGCCTGGACCTACCGGACATCCCTCCCTGGAAAGTGACAGGATCTTTTTTTAACCAGATTGTATATTCTGCCGCTGTATGATATTCCACATGGGCAGGGGGTCGGGGGATTAAAAGTCTCAAAGAAGGGTCCTCAAGGAAAAACAGATGTCTTATAAGAGATCCAGTGACATGATGGTGTTATGCTTCTCCACAAAATTATGCAGAAGCCATCGAAATGATCATCTCTTGC